TCCCGGGTCTCGTGCGGGCGGGCGGGCGGGCGGGCGGGCAGAGAAGAGACGGTCGGCGGGCGCGGCGCGCGGCGGCCGGGGCACAAGGATACGCCCATCTGTTTTCTGTTTATTTCGGGGCAGGGCCATCCCTCGGCGGGCCGCGGGCCCCGGGCCATCTCCGCGTGGCATTGATTTATAGACAGCAGACAGCCCTCACCTTCAGCTAGCCTCAGCCAGTGCTCCTCGATTTAACTCCCGCTCGCTTTGTCTCCCCGCCCCTCCTCTCCCTCGCTCTCTCCCTGGCGAGCTTCTCTGCCCAGGTATTGGCCTACTTTCCAGCCTCCCCCCCCCGACCCCCCCCCTCCCCTCCTCCAGTCATTTTGGCACGTGCCGCCCGTGGCCCCAGAGGCAGCAGTACATAACACCCTAGCTTCTTGGTGTTGGTTTCCCGTACAGCCCTTCCTTGCAGCCCCTTCCTCGAGTTCCAGCCGCAGTCATCAGGGGGCGTCCAGAACAAGCGCGCTGTAAGGAGAGTGGGGCGTGGGGGGCTTTGCTTGCCCCGTATCGGCCCAATTGCAGCTCCTGAAAGGTGGGCAATCTGCGCTGAAAACCCCTGCAAGGAAGCAACCGGATACCGGCAGTGCATCGCCGCCGTTGGTTTGGTGGCAGCCTTTATCTAGTGAGTCGCAAAGGATTAAGTCACGCGGTTCGCGCAAATAATTCCCTACCAATCCAGGACCGAGGCTAGGACCGAGGCCAGCACCAGGACCCACAAGACCCGATAGGCTCGAGCCGCGTCGGCGCCGCATCCCCTAGGCAACGCGCAAACAACGCACCGCACCGCACCGTACCGCGCACGCACCGCGTTCTGCCCGTAGCCGTGCGCTGTGCCCATGGCTGTGCCTCCTGTGTCCGTACCTTCAGCAACTATGGGGTTTGCGGCGCGCCGAACCGAACTGTGTAGAACGGACAGGGGCCACAGGGCCACGGAGCCACGGGCCAAGGAGCCACAGGACAACGAAGCCATGCGGCCACGAGGCCACGAGGCTATGAGGCCAAGCGGCCACTTCTTTTTGCATTCCACTGTTTCTCCTCCCTGCCCTACACCCTTCCCCCTTTCGCCGCTGGGCCGACCTTGCGAAAAGGCGATGGAGCTGCCACACAACCGTGGAGCGCTGGACGTGGAGCCGGAGGGATATACTCTGACGTCAGCATCCTGGCGGCGAGCGACGGAGGCCCTCACTGGGGTAGTGAGTGAGCCCCCGGTGGGGTAGAGCCCTCTTTTGAGGTGGTTAGGGACTCGGTGTGGTTGGTGAGTGGGGATAATAAGGGTAGTTGGCTAATCAGGCACCTCCGTCGGGGCTCGTCAGCGCCGCTCAGCGCCGGGGTGCGTTTAGGTCTCTGGCAGCACGCGGGGCGGGGTGCGGTGTGCGGAGCGCGGGGGTCGCTAGCGGCGCGGGGTACACGCGGCGGCGTGCTCTCCCGAGGGGCCGCCGGTACTACCCCGCGCCCGAGGGCAGTTTCGGAGGGGCGGCGCACCGACGGATGGGGTATAACGGCCTCGCGGTGGGACCGGAAAGGGGATGAAAGAAGAGCAAAAAAACAAACAAGGACAGTCAGTCGCACAGCAGCGGGCACGCTTGTAACGATCTGTGTTGGTCCGTGTGTGGGCTCTGGAAACCACATGCCGGCTGGGCGCGCCCGGGCCTCGGCCGGGGCGCCACCTGCACCGTCACGTGACCACGTGCGATCGGAGCCGGGATTGATTCGATCCTAGAATAGCGAGCGGCCAGGCAGGATGGCGGCGGCACTCCGAAAGAACGGGGAGTGGGGGTAAAAAAAAGCAAGCTGAACGACGCAGGAGAAACTTCTGGTTTAATCGTCTCTCCAATGAGAGAGAGTAACGATACCCAAAACGATCACAACAGGGCGGCGGGGGTGAGGGGCGAGTTGGGGTCTTTGTGACACTTTAGCCATCTATGACCATCGTTGAGCTCAACGAGAGGTTGAAATGCGTGTTCAGGGTGTTGTCAAAAACGAAGGTGGTGGGAGGGGAGAAAGGGCAGATTGGGGAAGGGGATAACTATAGGGGTGGGACTTGTGAACGAGGTGCGAACTCGCCTTCCCCTTTCCCTATTCTTTCACCATCCTGGCAACGCCACTGCTGTGCCGGAGGGACAGCCTTTTGCAGAGCACGAGCTGGCCATCAAGACGAGCAGTTCTGTTCCCAGGCCTATGCCGCGGTGTTAGGATATGTGTTGTTGCCTCGTCTTCTAGTTACCCCCCCCCCCTCCCCTCTAACGCTGAGCTTACCCCTCACGGCGCACACGGGGAAGAAGGCGGCCTGGAGCTCCCTGACGGCCGAGGCGTTGGCCATCCCATGAGCACGGCGTCGAGCACCCGGCGGCACTGGCCGGGGGCGGGGCAGGCGCGGCCGGAGAGGATGCGCCTGGCTTACACCCCGCGGGTGGGGCGGTCGGGGAGGTCCGCTCCAACCCCTCGTGGGGCGTGCAGGGGCGCCACCCTCGGGGGAGGGTCCCGGCCCGGCCCGTCCCTGCCGCCCGACAACACTACACAACACCGGGGCAGAGCGCAGGGCCCGCAGGCCCCGCAGGGCCCCTCGTGTGGCGGGCGCGGCCGGAGGCGGCGCGCGGGGAGACCCACGATTGCACCCCCCTACCCCCCTCCTCCTACCCGCAGCCCATTACTTCCCGGAACATCGTGACGTTCATGATGTGGACGTCACCAATCAGCTGATCGCATAGACAGGCGCGGGCGCGCCCTCACCACCGGCGTTCCTTGGTGCTACTTTGCAGCCCCTTTGCTCACGAGCCTGTAACACGTTTTCTAGTTTCTTGCTCGCGCCCCCGCCGTTCGCGCGTGCACAAAACTTTGACGGGGAAGCAATCTCTGCCCTCCTCGGCGCCTTTCACACGCACTTTTCCTCACCCCTGCTCCGTCCGCCGCGAGGCTCACGGCGAGCTCCAGATAGCTTGTTCATTGGATTGCGTGTTGGGGGGCGGGGCGGGGCCCCCCGTGATAAGGGTACGTCGGAACTTCACGCAGCCGCTCAGCTGCTCCGACTTTTTGTGAGCGGCACGGCAGTGTTCAAGAAGAAAAAAAAACAGGAAAGAGTGGAATTTTAGCAGATGCGGGGATGCGGGGCTGGGCCAGAGATTGGTGCCAACGGCGCCCTGGCGCAATGTGTAGGGGACGCGAGGAGTCAGATGATACTGCCGGGACAGCTAGTGAAGAAAAGGATCGCATGGAAAATACGTCCGTTTTTCTGAGATTCTGCCGGCAAATTACGGATGACGGGAGCTTGACGCCTGCGTTACTCAGGGTAGGCCATCCCGCAGTACACGCGTGCACTGCAGGCAAGACTTTGCCTACCCACCAGGCGTTATGAGAGCTCGCGCAAAGGTTGCATTTCGCAGTTTCGCAAGTAACGGCGAAAGACAGACGTACTCCGTGGATGATCCCAAAGAGACCATGTCTGTTCCTGTTCACTGTTGAGGTTGGACGTCTGCCATGTTTAAGGGTGAAGTGCTCACTACTGCAAATTTTAAATTATAGAACGGTATATTCATTCTAGATATTGTGATGCCATTCGTACCAGGCTCCCGTACCATATTGATCGGAGGAAATATGTTACAAATGGATGTCAACACTTTCATTTTAAGTGATCACAACTTGCGGCACAGGACGGTGGAAGGAGAGTAAAAGAGAACCTCCGACTGCACACATGCTGGCCTAATCCTAAATCTAGTCTTGTGGTTTCTAAAAATAATAATAAAAAAAACACACAACCATTTTTGAAAAAATGTCACAAAAGGAGATAATCATAGTAACCGATTGGTATTTCGCCCTACTCCCTATGGGACGTGCCGTGGGTGCCTTCCACAACGTGATCAGCGTTCTAAAAGGCGGCCCTTACCTACGGGTGGCCGACGCAACCCTCCGATGGACGGAACAACGGGCGCTGCTCCATGTCCTGCGACAACGGTGGGTGCCGGTGGAGACTCCCCGTCCCCGTCTTCCAGCTCAAGAAAGCTGTCGTTCAGCATGGCCAACGATGGCCAGGCGCATCGTGGAAACGTTATCGAGTTAAATAAAGAGTGCGCGCGCGCTTACGAGAATCGCGCCAGGCTCAAAGTGACAGGCACACGCTTGAGCCGGCGCGGCCCATGAGCCGGCCCCCTCAGAGAGGCACTGGGGGCCACGTGGGGCCCTGGAGTACCGGCGGACAGGGTTGAGGGGGCCGAACTGACAGTAGATACGGGATATGAACGGGATGGGACGGGCACGGGGGCCCGGGGGTGGGCCGGCGCCCACAGTGGGGCCTGGGGCCCCCACCCTCCCCGCCGAGCCGGGCCGGGGCGAGAAAGAGGCGCAAGGGGGGCGCCCTTTTGGATGGGCCGAGAGGGGAGCGGGCGGGGGAGTCGAGAGCCCGATATTAGAAGGGGGGAAGGCGGGGGGTGCAAAAGGCAACGACCAACAACCGCTCTGCACGCCACGGCGTGACTCCTACACCGTCCAAAAATGTACCAGCGCCGCCGCTCATCAGCCTGGGAGGTAGGCAAGCTCGCCCGCCAGCGAGCGGCCATGCCGAGCACGCTGCCTACCCCGACCGCAGCAGGCGCCTCCCCGCGTATCCTTCCGCTCTCGTTCTTGGGCCGGGGCGCGTCTTCCTCGTTCCGTGTCCGTCGGGTGTTTGAACCCCAGTTCAGCCCTAGATTTCTTCCCTTCTTTATCCCCCCCCCTCATCCCCAACCATTTTTTTGTTTGTATTGCGGAAATCCTTCTCTACGCTACGCTCCGCTCGAGTCAACGCCCCCAAAGCCCGGAGCCCAGAAGTCGCGCCTTTGCATGTGTGCGAGCCAGCCAATCGTGTTCACATCCTGCTCACACCTTCCTACTCGCCTACTCTGCTTGGGACTGCTGCGTCTGCGTAAAATATTGCACGACACGCAGATATGCAATGAAAAAATATATATCAAATAACGTGCAGAAAATAGTTGCCAGTGAAAATAAATAATATTTAATCAACAATGAAGTACAATGCATTATTATAGTTTATCATCATAAACAATTCATAAAGCAGTAAAGCCCCAAATCGCTAAAATATGAAAGATACAAAATATTTCAGTTAAAATCTCATTAAAATGTATCCTAAGTAGATACCACAGATAAGTTAATGACTATAGACAAATTAAGAATGAGTACGGTAAACATAATAAAATTAAGCTATTGCTAACAAGCTCCCGCCTAGTTGAGGGCCGTGGATGTAAGCAGGGCCACGCCCCGCTCGTAAAAGCTGTGCTGGTCCTGTCCGGGCGCAATGTTGAGGTCGACAGTGAAGAGCAGCTCGGTGCGCGTCGAGTTGAGGTACACGGGCAGGGAGATCTTGGAGGAGCGCTGCTCGGTCCCGGGGGCGGAGCGCACCCAGCGCAGCAGGGTCATCGGCAGGTCCGTCATGATGGTGGAGGCCAGCAGCAGCTGGTTGTTGCGGCAGTTGGCGCCCTGCAGCTTGAGCGCCGTCACCCCGAAGCTGTCCGCCATCTGCGGGGGCGCGTCCTGGCCGTCGCAGATGGTCACGTCGAGCGCCAGCTCCTCCAGCGACCAGCTGTTGGCCTGCGCGATGCACTGACGCGTGGCCGTGATGTACGCCTCTGGGTTGAGCAGCCCGCCGAGCCACACCGGGTACGTCTTGATCTCCTTGGCCCCGCCCTGCGATACTAGCTGCGACACCTGCGGAGACAAAGGTGTTGGTTAGAGCAGCTAGAGAAAAAAAATGGGTCTGAGAAGGAAAGAGAGGGTGTGTTTCGAACACGCACCTGCTGCAGCTGCTTGACACGCGAGCAAAAGTCGGTGACCCACTGGATGACGGTGCAGCCGTGCGGCACGGTGTAACGTCGCCAGCTGGGAGGGATGATGCCCTTGACCAGGTCGCTCAGCATGGCGCGGTGGTAGTTGGTCTGCTTCTTCTCGCCCTGGCAGATGAGCACCACGTCCTCGAGGTCGTGGACCACGTCCTGCAGCAGTCGGGCGCCGGAGTTGACCTCGCGCTCGAAGTACCGGTACAGGGGGTCCTTGATGTTCTCGACGGTGCGCCGCAGCGTGGCCAGGCTGCGCGGCAGCAGCTCGAGGAAGGTGGCCGCAGAGTTGTGGAGCGTGCGCATCCAAGAGGGACGGCCGTCCCCGAGCGACTTCTGCGTCTGGTCCAAGCCCTCCTCCGTTGAGTAGGCGAGCTCGTCGTCATCCTCCAGCTGCTGCATCTTGAGAAGCTTGCCCACGAGGTCCGTGCCTGAAAATTAAACCACGAAAAAAATGTAGCTAAATGTATAACTTACAATGGAAACCACAAAACTGTAACAAGGTTCAATTTTCTTAAACACATTTAACAGTAAATAAATGCGGCAACTTTGCGTACCTCTGGTGGTGAGGAGAACTTTCTCCGCATTGTTGGGCAGTCCCAGCCATGACGGCGTCTGCCTGTCGGACAGGGCCTCGATCCAGTGCAGGAAGTGGTCCCTCCTTGTACCGTCTGGCATCGTGATGTGCCGTTGGCCCCCGGGGCCGCCAGCCACGCCGTCCACGTTGGCCACCAGAGCGAAGTCTGCCTCAAAGCTGGAGGGTGTGAACAGCTTGGCTAAGAAAGACTTGAGCAGGCGCTGGTCGAAGTCGTTGTCGATCTTGCCTCCGTAGATGCACTGGGACAGCAGAGTGACTAGAGCATCCCAGGGAACCTTCTCTGGAGGCAGGTTCGTTCTGCCCATAGCGGTGGCTTCAATCCATGTGTCTAGAGTGTCGCAGGCGACCCTCAAGTCAGATTCATTGAATTCATAGTACTTAGCCCAACCCAAGGGCACATAGCGCAGGCGTTCTTGGACGATGGCGTGGAACCACGCGAGCAAGAAGTAGAGGCGGGCTCTTTCATTTGGAGGCTTCATCATGCGAGAGGCAGGTACCGTGCTGAATGTGCGAAGAAGATTGGCCTTGATGCCTGGAGGTGGCTCAAACACAAAGATGCGACCAGCTCGAAGAAGATTGACGGGCACCTTTGGATTCATTTCCATGGTCAAGAAAAGGCGGAAGCCGGCATGAGGTTGCAGGGAATGTAGTTTCTTTTCAAGCTGAACCAGCCACTGAGGAGCAAGGTGCACGTTCTTCAGCAAGACCCAACGACCAGAGCGCACAGCTTGGTTGATAGCACGATCAGCTTGATTGAATCCTTCTGCAGAACCAATGGCAATAGAGGCAATCTGCTTGCCCAGTTCAGCTGCAAGGTCGTCCACGCGACCAGAGGCGTCGTACCCAGGAACAGAGCACAGCAACGCGGGCACGTTGGCTCGAAGCTCGGCGTCCACGATAGACGCCAGGTCCAGCTCCCTGTCAGCAGCCACCATGAACTCCTCGCCCAGCACAGCCATGACGAGCGAGACCCCAGCCGCAATGACTCTGTCCGGCCTGAACGTCTGGATGAGCAGCAGATTGTGCATGGCCACGGCCACGGGGCTGAGCTGCTTGTCCTCCTCCCACAGCGCAGGCACGCACTGCTCGGGGGAGCTCTGCTGAAGCCAGCCGGGGAACTCTGGCGAGTCCTTGATCTTCTTGGCCAGGTGCTTGTAGGCCGGGATACGAGACGACAATCTGATCATGGCTTCAACTTGCTCCTGGTTGAGCCCGTCAATGGCGGGTGGAGTGGAGTTGAGCATGCCCTCCTTGCCTCGGAGGAAGAACGTGAACTCGGTGTCAAGACTAGCCTCTGTGGGCACACCCTTAAGATGAATACGACAAAGCAAAATTGCAAATGTAAGCCTATCAGTGTGCAGCATCCCTCTCGCCACCCGTTCATAACAGACACCAAATAAGTCCTTGGTGATGACAGACAGTCTTTGGCCATAATCTGTTATATTCTGAACATGAGGATTGCTGTGCAGAACTGAACTAAATATGTCCAGGAAGAACTGAAGAGAATATTGATAAAGGAAGTGAATTTGATTCAAGCTGTCCATGGTGAAGTACATGTTGCTACAAGCTTGAGAGAGAGGCATGTACTGTTGAGAGACTGTTTCAATTTCAGCAATGACTTTGTCAGTTTCCTCCACCTTCTGACTGATTTCAGCAGCTTCATGTTTCAAAGTTTCAAGAGTTGTAATCACACTATCATCATCCAAAATTTTTCCTTTAGCATCATTCAATGCCTGGAGTAAACTCTTCTCTAGTTGTCTGAGCCTGAGATGGAATTCTCCCTGAAGCTTCAGAAGATCTGACCTCTTCTTGTCAATATCTGGTCTCTCCGCCTTGAGAACTTGATTCAAGCATTGACTTTGAAGGGAGCTACGAGTGACAGTGAAGTTTACAAAAGTTACTCTCGAGCAAATATCGGGAGGGAATTCTACTGTAGGATCACGAGTTGACAGGAAAATATTGAATGATGGAGAAAGATCAATATCTTGATCACCCAAAGTTATGAGTACACGACCACCTGTGCGGCGCAGTTCCCTATTTAATACAGGATTCAGGATGGGATCATAATTTTCAACATCCTGAAATCAAATAAATGAAAATGTGTGAACTCACATAAAGGTATGAGACAGTCGAAAAAAAATTTGATTGGCTTACCTGTACCAGCAGAGGATTACCAAACCTAAGGGCTGATTCAAGATTCTTTCGGAATGCATCATCCAGGAAAGAAGTTTTAGTTATCTTCTTATCCTTGTACTCATTCATAATAAACTCTGTAGCCTGACCAGAAGGATCGATGATCAATGGGTACCTGTTGAAACGCTTCAACATGATAGCATTTTCTGTGCAGAGATCATCAGTAGGAAGGGCATTAGCCTGCCACCTCAGCCTCTCATCAGGATTTGACAAGTACTCTGTTCGTGCTATGTCTGCACGGAATTGTAAGGCAGCTTGCTGAAGATGATGACACCAAGTGGCAAAAAGATTTTGACGGTACTAGAAAAAATAAAAAAATAATGTAGAAGATTATTTTGGTCAGAGTATTTTCTCAAATTCAAAAGCCACAGTTTTAAATTACATACATGCTGATCAAAATAGCCTGCATATGCCAAAAATGCAGATGATAGGAGAACATCACCAATAATGGTTGACATCTGCGACCGGAATGTTTCACTCGTTGCTTCCCATCTCTCTCTCTCAATGACCAGTGACTTCAAGAGTGCAATAGAACGGTCTACCTTGGCCTGAACATTCTCTAAATCTGTTTTGATGGCTTGAGCTTGGGAGATGAGTTGAGCATATTCTTCTTTGTAAGAGGCAATACTTCTCTCCAGCTGTGCAATAAGGTTTTTCACCTCTTCACCCTTGTTTTTGTTTTCCTCAGCTTGAGTTTCAAGGGAACCTAATTCATCACGAAGTGGTTCCACTTTCTTCAGCATGTCAGCATATTGAACCTGTAGATGTATGTTGAAGAAAATAAGTTTCACTGTAGCCTAAAGTGGTGAAAATACTCAAATACACAAACAATTGGCTGATCATTTATTAGTTTTACCTGAGCAACAGCCCATTTGACCATTGGTCCGCAAGCCATACTAGCACGATTAACTTTCTCAAAAGTGTAATCTGGATTACTGAGATACTTGTCGTGCATTTTTTGTCTAACATCGTCCCTAAAAGAAAAGAATTTTTTTTTACTCAGATGAGTTGTGCACATTTAACAGTTTGAAGCTGAGGTTCTATGCAACTAAAGCTTCCTACACAACATCAGGCAAGGCCAATACATGAAATAATGAAAGGAAAGGAAAATTGGATGAATCTACAGAGTGTAAGTAAGAGAGGGAAAGCTACTGTTTCTTACGTAATATTTTCAGTGTTGAAGTTAGAAACGATGGAGTTGATGAAGTTTTCACGCATAACCACAGCCCTGATGGCTTTCCAATCACTTGCATTTTCTCCAAGCAAAAGGCAAATGGATTCCAAAGCAAGCTTTACAATGGCAGGAGGGTTTGCCATAGATCGAACTTCAACCAACTGTTGTTTCTTGATCTCTTTCACAGCTACAAAGCAGATAAAAGCATAAAATCATAATGCAAATAGTAGTCAATCACAAATCAAATTTTTGAAAGAAAGAATATGTAGAGACAAAGGAAAAGAGAATGGCAGACAGGTACTCAACAGTTATCTAATACCACATATTTTGCTAAAATGGTAAAGAGACCAAATGGCCAAAGTATACATAAGAGCAGGATAGATCATTGGGCAAATTAAAATATTTTGTGTAGCAAAATGAATCTAATAGGTAAGACTGAAAATCAAAACAAGCTCATGCAGGCTTAGTATGTTTTGTTTTACATCTTTCTTACGTGAGATCTTCAGAGTTAAAATTCACAATTGTATTAATAAAGTTTTCCCGCATGACAACTGAACGAATAGCTCGCCAGTCATGGGTATTTTCACAGAGCAAAAGGCATATAGACTCCAATGCTACCTTCACTATGTTAGGTGGATTTGCCATACTTCGCACTTCCACCAAATGTTGTTTTTTAATTGATTTTACAGCTAAACAGTAACAGGACATCAGGACCAAAAAAACACCTAGCCTCAAGAAAGATGGGCATTTCTGTTAATTATTGAAAAGAATCAAACCCTGATTGAGCTTTACCTTGTTGTGCATCAATAACAGCAGGTTCCACCTGGGCCAAGTCTTCCATAACCACCTTCCGCTTCTCTGCAATACGAACTGTCTGTTTCTCAATTTCAGCTTGGATATCCTGGCTTTGAACCTTTTTCTTTTCGGCCTCTTGCTGATCTTTTACCATCTGTTTCAGTTTGGCATTTGCAGCTTCATTTTTAGCTGTAAGTTCCTGGAAAAGCACAATATCAAGGTTACCAAATGCCAAACATCAATTTAATAAGCCTCCTCCTCCCAATTTTAAAAAGCAGATCTAAATTAAAGCACCTGTGATTTCACAGCCAGCGACTTCTGCATTTCTTCAACCTGTTCTACTGTTTCTGCAATCTTGTTCAGACCAACATTCAAGTGAAGCTGTTGCTCTTCTAAATCTGATCGTTTTTCATTGTAAAGTTTCACAAAGTGATGGATGAAGTCAAGATAATGTCTGCAAATGGCGAAAACAAAGTGTAAGACCTCAAAGTGGAATACTGACTTAATCCTAATTTTAAAACATCTAGATACCTTGGGGTGATTGCCATAGTTCTGCTTCCCCGCTTCACAAGCCTTGCATTAGCTTTGTGTAAGGTTTGATGAACATAGACACATGCGTTGATAACAGCTTCTCGGTGAGTAGGTTGAGCTGGCAACCCTCCATACACAGATGGGAAAAAGTCAGGTGCTTTCCAGGTGGGACGGTCGAGGTCAACTGTGTTTGTGAACTCTTTACCAACCTATGATTAAGATACAAGGATGTTACAATTGGTGATTCATCACATAGTTGAGTGAAGGCTCATTATTAGGGTGTCACTCACTTGGAACAATGCCCCATCTGACCAATCACCAAACCAATTCAAGACACAACGGTTGAACAAGGCAGGTGATGTAGCAGCACGGTCCTTGAGTCCCTCAGAAGATGGATTCATGGTGAAGACAACATGAAGGTTTCTTATGACTTGGCCAGTGAACCACTTGTACAACTCTTCATTAGAGTCAAGCATTAAGCCTTCTCTTTGAGCTCCTTCCTTACACTGAGTCATTAGAGTTGCATACTCATCACCTAGTTAAAAAATCTTGTGTTATTTACAATAGAGGAGAACAACACTTTTAGCTGCAAGCATCCATTTATGGGCATGTTACCTTCAAACAGGCCAGGTACTTCTCCATTGGCAAGCAATGTGTTCATCCTTTCAAGGAACCCAGAGTCAAGCACATTAGATTCATCTAGGATGAACGCAATTTTCTCATCCTTACATCCTGAACGTCTCAACACAGAGCGGAGATCTTCATCAAAGTCTTCTCCAGTGTATTTATTGTGAACCTACCATAATATTAGCGAGATTAAATAAGTAAGCAAAATATTTTCAAATGATGTTCCAGGTAAAAGTCACTACTAACCTTAATTTGGAAAATTGAGAGACCATTCATCCAAGCAACAAACCGGGAAAGAGTAGTTTTTCCAGCACCAGAAACTCCAATAAGCAGCAGGTGTCCCTGAGGCTGTCTAAATATTCTGTCTATACGAAGAACATGGTCCAATACTTCATCAAACAGTACTAACTGTACATCCAACTCTTCCTCATAGAACACTTTCAGGCGAGCCTTTACATATTCTCTAAGCTCTTCTCTATTCACAGGAACATAGTCCTTTGAAAGCCAATTGCTGTACAGAATGGGACGAGCAAGTGCCTGAGACCTGTCGATTCCAATGAAGTGCTTCTGAGCCACAATATCAATATTTTCATTTGTCCACCGCCGCTCAGCATCATCAACTAAACGATCCTGGAATAATCTGAGGGCCTCATGGGCCCACAAGCGTACAAGTCCTTCAACATTTAATGTCTCCAAAGGCCTATAATTAGATAAGAATAATAATGTTACGAATGTTGATGGAAAACAAATCCTCAAATTAGAAAGATAACTTACCTAATAGCCTCACAGATGCCTCTGACCCATCTCGTCATTTCACGAGGTGAATACACATAGTGGGGTTGCATATCTTGAGTGAAACGCTCTTGAGATACTAGGTAGAATTCTACCATTGCATTTGTAAGGGGTTCAGCAAACCCTCTAAGTGGAGGTATTAGACGCAACATTGCACGACTGAAGGTTCCATAAATCTAAGAAGAAAGGAATTTGAAGGCTTAGATTGTGAAAACAGCAAAATTATTGAAAACTGTGAATTATAAATTAAATAAAGACCTGCTTCAATGAAGTTTCTCCAGGGTAATCAACATAGATAACTGGCACATGCCGCAAGAATCTGTGTGAAAGAGGTTTTCTACCAGGATCTGTTGGTGGATTGCAAGCACCAACAAATTGGATACGTTCTAAAGATACCCAAGCCTGGTCATTGCTACGATAAAAGCCACGATGTTCCACTAATTGTCTCAGGAAAGATATCACTCTTTGAGTTCCATACTTGTCCATATCTGGCAAATTGATTTCATCACAGAACAAGACTAGCCACTTCCCAAGCTAACAAAAAAGAAAAGTAAAGATTAATATTCAATGAAAATATTATTAAACTAGTGGTTGGTTTAATACTGACCTGTACAGGAGACAAAACCACACCATTTGGCGTTTTTCGATATTCACAATAATGATCAAATGTCTTCAAGAGAAGTTCAGGTGTAGTAGCTGAGGAGAAATTCAGGCCCACAACTTCCATATCAGGCAGAGCTCGAAGAGCAGAGAAAAGTGTCATAGTTTTTCCGGAACCAGGAGGACCACAAAGAACAAGTGGTTTGTGCTCAGCCAACCAAGTGTACAGGAGAGATTCATGCCTTACTGTGTCTAAAGTGGGCACAACAACATCTGGTGCAGCAACTTTATGAGTCTCCACCTCAATTTGAGGCACTTTGTTGGACCATGGAGCCCAATCCCCAACAACTGTCACCTGTAACATGACTCTTGTTAGCAAATCTATGGTACAAACAGTCAAAATGAAGTATTGATCAAATATTTCTAAACCTCATAGTCAATGATTGGGAGGTTGCTGGTTGGTGGCAATGGAACAGTTGTTATGGTACGGATGAAATCACCCAAATCAGAGCGTCCTTTTAGCTTGGCATCTCCAGCAAAGCTCCAAAGAAGAGCATACACCAAGCACTTAGGAATGTAGCTCTCTAACTGTTCGGTAGTGAGAGGGAAATCTGAATGGGAGTGGTTGTAGGCTAGCACATTCCTAAACAAAGGATGCAAATAGATATCAGTAAATTTACAACAAAAAGATAAAAAATACATTTATGAAAGGGTTACCTCACTCCCTGGTTGAGCATAGAAAATAGAGAGCTCAGAGCACGAAGACGGGTAAAGTCCATAATATGTTCCTGTTTCATGGCATATTCCAAACTTCTAACAACCAATCCATCAGGGGAAAGATAAGATTGGAGTATCATACTGACATCCCTTTGAATCTGAAATAAAACACAAGCAGCATTAGCTGAAAAGGTTGATCTTTGCATGCATAGAATACATCACATAGACCTGCCCCTTACTTGCAAGGTGGGTGATAGATCATCATCCTTTTCCCCTGATGTCTTCTTGGTGGTAAAGGTACCCAGCCCATCATCCTCCGACTCTTCTAGAGGAATGTTACGAAGCCGTAACATGTAATTTTCAAAAATCATTTCTGTAGATAAGACATCTTCAGAGAACCACACCATACCACATCGGGAAACAGTGGCTAGAGTTGCATATTTCAAATCTTGAACCTAATTGGAAAAAAAGAGGGATTGCACATAATATATTTGATTGCATAAAATTTGTTTTATATGAAAAGCAATTACAGCTCAAAGTAGAATTTGGTTTACCTCAAACATGATGCGAACATTTGGTGGAAGTGAGAGACGTTCACCATTGGGCAATGTCAGTAGCTTGTTATCATCAAGCACCGAGTTCAGATTTTCAACCCACTCGGGATCAACATCACCGTCAAATATAATCCACTGTCTTTTGTTGATTTCTCCTCTCACATTGTCTATGATTTTCCTAGGAATTGAACACAAGAAAATTAAATTAAATGCATGAACCATGATAATTGTACTTTTTACTTATAAGTAAGAAGTAGTACCTCAAAATGTGCGTAAAGAGACCATCAGTCCATTCTCGAGTGTTAGGGTCAAGCACACCATACAATGCTTCCTTCGAAATAGCTTTGGGGTCGATAACATGTGCAACCCCTTCAATCCCTTCAAGACGTTCTAATGAGCGCAGAAGCACTCTCCAGGCTGTGCTCTTTCCAGAGCCACTTGGCCCAACCATCATGAGGCCATGATTCAAATTACAAATCTGATAAAGTTGGAGAACCTGTAGGAGAAATCATATAAATTAACAAAACTTCCTTCAAAGATACTCATGCTTGATAGAAGAATACATGCTGCAATAAAATCAACTCAAATGCACAAACACTCTGATTTATGGAGGGGTTAAAACTCCACAAGATAATTTTAAAGGACTTCAGAGAAAAATGGATAACTGCAGCATGCACGAAATAAGGGTCATGGCTAAAAAATTATGAAGCTGATGTCAATTTGTACTTTAGTGTACAATGATATTTTAAAAGTGACATGTGGGACAAAATTTCAAATTTCTGAAGTACATAGCATGCTATTACAGATAGTAAAGATACATATATGCAAAAGAATAAGAAAAATACTGTATGTAATTCAGCTGATCAATAAGTATGTAAATGGTAATTACAAGAGCTTATATGAACTGGGCATGCAGGTTACAACGCTTAAGACTAGTAACAAAAAACACTCCATTTGCCCTCTTTAAGATCTACAACACAAGCGCAGGTCAAATACTGCAATAAATTCTGCCTAAAGAAGGCATTGGGCGGCTACCATACAATAGAAATTAAATTGTGGACAACTTTTACCTTCTCAACCCAAGTCTCGCCTGTGTATCTCTAAAAATACAACAGACAAAATATTTGAAATCTTAAAAATATTTTAGTTTTAACTTAAGAGTTAGTATATTAGGCTTTAAAATGTTAGTGGAGCTTGGTGTAGATATTAATTCACACGAATGCTTACCTTCTCCATCCAGGAACCACCCTGCTCCTCTCCTTCGCCACACACCAGATATTCTTCCTGACACACTTTCCTGATCTGGTCTTTGAGGCCAGCCATTTCAGCCCTTGTGTACTCAACATTAGGGAACACATCTGAGAGAAGAGAGAATAGAAGAGGAATGTCCTCAGCAACCAGCTTTGGAACCATTGTTTCACACACTGACTGGATAAGAATTTCTTGTTCAGGCAAGTTCTCAGCAATCACAGCTTCATCTATATTTGACTCTCCACTCTTTTTCATATCTTCTTTTATCTTTTGAATACGGTCCCTCTTCACATTACCAGCCGACACTAACACACTCTTCAGAGCTCGGAGGCCGAAGTCATAGTGTGATTGATTTGAGAGCTGCTCATCACAGAGCTTGAAGAAAGGTACAATTTTGCAGGCCAGTTTCTCAGCTGAGCGGAAACCTTGAGAGAACAGCATGACTTCTGCAATGAGTTGACGGTCTGGCTTGGTCATGGCAAGAGACCTAAAGAGTTTCTTCAAGTTGTCTGGGAGATTGGAACGTCCAGCATAGCCAGGATTCATTGTGATAAATATAGCCATATCAGTGGAAACTTTCACTTGCTTGCCTACAAGTTCGACAGAGATTGTACCCTCTTTTTTGCCATCTTGTTGCGATTTCAAAGCTTCTTGAATGGTTTGAACCTGCTGTGAGACTGCAGAAAGCATCCTCTCCTCAAGGCGATTAAACTCATCAAAACAGCCCCATGCTCCCACTTGACACAGACCAACAAATATTCTCCCCATAGCTTGGAAGTCAAAGGTTTCATCACAGTTAAACACTAGAACAAATCTTCCTAATTGGTGTCCAAGTGCTTTAACTGACTCAGTTTTACCCGTTCCTGCAGGGCCAAATGGTGATCCTCCAAGACGAGATTCAAGTGCTTGTGTCATTGTTAGGTAGCAGGTATCCGTCAGTGGTGTTTGAACCAGTCGATCTTGAACTCCCAAGTACTCAAAGCCATAAAAGAACTTAGCATTTGCCATATGAATCGTAAGTTGCTGCAGCACCTCCGTTTGCCTCGGGTCAAAGTAAAACCTCATTTCGCAAAGCCATTCAAAAGCTTTAGGGCCAGAAATGCGATTAGCAATCAACCTTCTGGTGACAGTGCGTTTGTGTACAAATTCATTTATGAGGTGCTCTAGCTTTCTGCGGCGGAGTGGTGGTTGCTCTTGTAAAACAGAGTCAGCCAAAACAGTGAGAGTATTTTGCACTTGAACAAGAACACGGTCCAATGGAGCCATGTTTGGCTCACCACTGGCATTTCCAATTTGATGAAGGGCATTTTCAACATCCTCACTCCACAATATTTGTGCAGCCAACACTACAATTTGAGCTTGGTACTTGTCACACCATTTCATGTATGCACTAGGGTCTATAGAACCTTCCTTAAACTGCTTGATATCCTGAACAGCTTCAGCCAAGCGAGATGCAAGAGTAACCCTCATTTCTTTTTCCACAAGGGAGAGCCATTCATTAATTTTAGGATGCTCTACAGTGTTGACTGGAGTGCAAAATTTGACTTCTTCTCCTTCCCTTGAAGAAATTCCTGTTATGATGGTATTATCCTCATTGAGAAGAATGGCAGCAACTCCAGCAAACATTTTTTTGAAATGTTTCTGTAGACGTGCAACATTTTTGCTGTTACCAATGATCTCCAGTAAATCTTCATCACCAACAAAATAAAAGCGGGGAAATGATGTCCTTTCCCTTTCCAAATATTCGCCGAGTGCCTTCTGGATTTTACCCAAAAGATCAGCAAGGCGCTCCAGAGCACGCTGCACACCAGGAATGTTCAAAACATCCATGACCATAGGTGATTTAGAAACCCTCTTCATCAGACCAAGAAACTCTGAACTAATACTCTGGAAGCGTGATGTCTCAACAGGCAAAAGTGTTTTAATATCAGCACTTCCAGAAAAGATACCCTCTAAATACACCCACCTCCTCTGAACATCAATCCATACATCAAACAAGGCATTTATCCTGTTGAGCTTCTCTTCCCAAGTCAAAGCTTCCTCTTCAAATACTTTGTAGTACGGGGATAGTTTCATTGCTGCTACAGAGTTTATGTGTTCTTTCACTTTGTTGAAGAGGTCATCCCATCCTCTTATCAGTCTACACTTGTTTTGATAGTTGATTAAATCGAGTTCATAGCTTTGCCATGATTCTCGTACTTGTTTCAAGAACTCTTCTAAAGCCATTTCACCCTGAGCTACAAGAATTATATCCTTGACAACATTTTCATTCTTCTGAAGATTGACATCCCAGACTTGGCCAAGAGTAAGATCAGACAAGACCCATGACACACGCAGTTGCTTCATGAGAGACTTCCAATGTCTCTCTTTCAATGCATCCGATTTCAACTCAACAATCATCATGTTCACTTTAGTGTAACCCTGCAGGGTCCGTTTAACATACTCATATGATGAGTACTGCCTTAAACGAGCGGGTAGCTCCTTTAATTGAGTCATGAGTGTGTCTAACTGCTGCCGGAGCTTGCGTGGTTGTATGGATAACCAAGGTTTCTCTCTCAATTCATCAATCTGGGTCCAAACTCGTGACAATTCTGACCAAACTCCACGAAGATCTTGCAACTCTTCAAAGACAACTTGCATTCTATCTTCAGAGGTATTCATTCCACCAGGCTCCTGCAACTCCAATGCTTCCTTAGCTTTGGCAACATTATCTCTCTCTTCTTTCAGACGTGTGAATTTGGTCTCATAGATTTTCAATTGTTGCAAAGCTTCATCGGGGCGAAGACTACCTTCCACTGGTTTGCTACTTTCCCAGTCACTGAGGAAATCATTAGTCCTGGACTCCACTGCCTTATCCTCAGCAACAATTTTCATTTGCAAAGTAGCAACCTGGGTTTGAATGGATGAGTCCTTCCGTTTAATGATTTCATTAAAAGCACCCCATTCACCTTCAATATTGTCCACATGTAGCCAGTTTTGAGGGAATTGGAACCTTTGCCTTTCCAAGATACGTTGACCTTCACGATACACTTCCACTTGTTTTTCCCATGCCTTCATCTTGCGCTTCAAGGATTGAACGTAAGTAATGAATGAAACAGCGTCAGACGTACTGGCAGCTTCAATAGATTGTTCTTCTAGCTCACTACGGGATTTAGAAACCTGAGAATGGAACTGTGACATCTCGTTTCCAAGAAGTGCACCAAACTTGCTCAATGTGTCCTTGTGCCATGCATCGTACTTTAGAGTCACTTTACTCTGCACTTTAGCATAGTCAATCACAACAGGACCAAACTCCCTTCTTGTTTCTGAAGTGTCAAAAGTGGTTCGGCACTTTTTGATGTCATTCAAGAACCTCATCCACATATTGATATCTTCACCCAAGCGACTATATAAATTATCAGCTTGCAAATCCCAGAGGGATTGATACCGTAACCATTCATCAACATACTTTTGTACCTGAGCAATTTTGTTTTCAATGGATTCATATGCAGCAGCCAAGACAGTGTTTCCTTGAGGCAATTTGTTGAGAAGATTGCGGTAAGTCTGAGACACTGGTCTGTCAAGACCCACTTGGTATCTACAGCTCTGCAAATGGATTTGAGATGTAACAATGGCCTGCCATGAGAAGAACTGCTGCATGATCTGAAAGCGAGCTTCTTCAATACTTGGGTACAAGTACATGATTTGATTTGTGATGCGAACTTCATGAGTAACAATTTGAATGTGAGGGTCACCACCTGGCTTGTGGGTTGGTTGAGTGGGTGCATCAGTATCCATACTGTGATCAATTTCTTTCTTCTTGCCATCCAAGGCATCTGTCCAAGCCTGTATTCCAGCCTGAAGACGTGCAGCCAAATTCTTTTCTACTTCTTGATCAAGACGTTGCACCCAAATGTGCAGGTTGGAGTACTGACGCAGAGAGAGATCATCAACAGCATGCTGAATTTTAGCCAGAATGTCAGCAAAAGTGTTGGCTGAATAAGGACAAGTTTCCAAGGATCTGACATCAACATCCAGCTGCTCTTCTACAAGCAAGAGGTCTTCCACTTTCTCTTGGAAAGAAAAAACAAGCTCTGCCAGGCGTTGGACATACTGGTCCAACTTATAACTTTCCCACACAAGACCAATTCCCTGCAAACAATTACAAATTTATTAAACAGACGAATATACAGTCTTAGTAAGTTTATAAAAGCCAATGTAATCCTTACTTCACTTATGAGATTTTGAACTTCTTTCCTCATACCAGCAACCAAGGGAACAATAGATGCCTTATCCTCCACCTGCACAGATCCAAAATTTCCCCAAAATTAGTAAGAATAATCAATAGATATGAAATCAAGAACTGAAAAATTCTGAAAAATCTTTCCCTCGGCTCTACATCAGCTTGAGGTAAAAGAGCTTCTAATGAGAGTAGTTAACCACATCACCTACAGTAACACAAATCTAGCAAGTACCTATCATAGGGTACATTCAAAAAGCCATACTGGAACACTCCCTTTAAAAGTCATATGGTTGACTAAGTTTACAGATGTAAAAATACAGGGCTCTAGAGACAGCTAGCACATGGCCAATGAAATAAGCAGATATTGAAGGCATGTGTGGCCAACACATACAGATATTTAAAACATGCTTGTTGATATGGAATATAATATAATTTACATTGCTACAGCTGAATATGGCTCCTGTTATGGGGAACCAAGATGCAGGCAAATCACTAGAAGTATCAATAAATTCAACCGGGATTACAAGACAAGCTGAAAGAAAACATTAAAATTGAGGAAATAATGGGAGTACTTTGAAATATTTGAACAAGCCAATGGTATACAAATGTAAAGAAAATTCTTGAAGTATTTGTAATTATTATTAGATATAAAGAAAATTCGATTAGCTGCAAAGCATGTTGATGATGCACATGAAACTTGATGTTAGCACCTCCATGTTCTAGAATAAAATGATGTGATGAGGTAACTTGGACATTGCAAAGCACAACTGTAAATGCTGTTACTCCTAATCCATTCTGATCATAACTTGCTGATGCCAATTGCTTCTTCATACTTTCAGTGAAAACTTAGAAAATACAAAAGTTGCAACATAAAATACAGATGGTTCTAGTAATAGCCGATAAATAATTTAGTTAACATGTACTTATACAATTTGGTTACACACAAAAACAAAACAAAAAAAAGAGAGAAGAGAAAATAAACAGAATACCAAGGATAGATAGATAAAATACTTGGTCAATTTTTTGAGCTGGTACATGCAAACAGACATCATATGAGCAATTATAAAGCAGTTAAGGTTATTGTGTTATAAACAATAACATGGCACACAAGCTACTTGAATTTGGTCTCTACCTTGAACGATGGGCTGTTTGCACTGCCTCTGTTGCATAGCTGATTTCAACGTAACAAGGGAAGGACAAACATTACTCAAACAGTAGAAAAAAACATCAATTCTGTGAGTTCTTTGTCTAACCACTAAGTTAAAATCTGATTACAGAAGTGTACTGTAATTAAAGTTAATTTCTAAGCAACACACTCCAATCGTTAATTAACTCAAAAGTTATAAACAATCTACAGTTGCATCCTATTGAATTAAATGTTTTAGAATACCCTTCATTCTTAAATTAAGGGTTAAGTCTGCTTAATTAAGTCAAGCGTGGGGTAAAATGTTGAACAATTAAAAACACAAACATATTTTGAATTACTGCAAATTTGCTCAAGATACTATTCAATCTCACAAATACAGCAGCAGTAGTACATAGTAGTAGAAGGTCACAAGTCAGCAGCACTACTTATTGGGTTTGTAATTGTAGATCAGATTAAAATCTTTCCACAAAGATAAACTACCTTCAACCTGTAGAGATGTATGTTGATCCAACTAGATCTACTAGCACAACCTAACTGAATTGTAGTCAGGTTCATTCAAATAACACAAAGTCATTAGAGTTTTGAATTCAGAGTCTTACCTTTTCCAAAGTCCTTTCATAGGTCCGACAGCTCTCAATTAGTGAGATAGCAAAAGGATATAGGCCATTGGCAAGGTGCGCTTTGTTGACAATAGCCAGAGGTACTCGGAAACCCAGGTTCTTAAGGTTGCGAACCTGAGAAAATAGAGACAGAAAATATACTAACTAGGTTTTAGAAACAAAACTCAAATAATATTCAATTCAAACTAAATTCAGCAATACCTCTTTGGAAAGGGTGATTATTTCTGGCAAAAAGTTGACCTTTAATCGGAGAACGTTGCCTCGGCCTGACCGAGAACGAGTGGACTCAATAGCAAAAATCCGTCCTGTGACCCCCAGGTTGCGGGCTTGAACTTTCCTAGCCCAATCATCAAAGATCTCTGTGGTATTAAGTTTTAATCGGAAACTGTCTCCATCAGCTTTCAGCTTTTGACCATCAATGTGGTTTCCCCAACCTTTGCCTAAACCAAGTAAAAGAACACAAGTGTGACAGGACAAATTCAAATAGTAACTTTTCATACTGAATATTTAATTATTTTACCTAATACATCTTCAACACGGCGAAGATAGGCTGTTAGCTGACGGTCAATTTGTTTGGCCCAAATTATTGAACCGGACACAGGTGGCAAGTCTCTCACTTGACTCATACGGCATGCCTTACTTTGAGGGTATTGCACCTGAAAAATATTGGATTATAAGAATTGGCAATATGATGAATGAATACTGTGCTGACTAGGATGAACTAACCTTGAACTTTTCATGAAGTGCTTCAATATCATCTTTCACTCTTTGAATAAGTTGAGTTTGATACTCTCGGATGGCACCTCGAATATGGGGCCGCACAAACAGGGCATTGAAGCGGGAAAAGATCCTAAACATTTCGTTGGCATTTTTGGCAGTGCCCAGCTGGTCCCTTAAGTGGGCAGTAATCCTGGTTTCAACTCTATCTATGCGTTCCTGATACCGCCTTACTGCAGCCTCCCATGCCTCAGATCCTTCTCTGCTGATGTCTAGGCAGTCAACTTCCTTAACATTTTCGTAGGCCAAATTTACTTCCTAGAACATCCAAAGATATTGTTATCATGTCACAAATTGGGCACACTAGATGCATGATAGACAAAAACAAACCTCGATTGCATTAGCATCAGCAGCTTCAATAGCTAGCTGATCGGACTTGACATTAGAAGCATCACCTCCTTCAGGTGGAGACTCTGCTGGGCGTCCTGATAGGACCAGCATTATATTTGGACGTAATACACGCATAATGACAGTTCGAAGCTGTTCATGCTGATGTCTAAACTGGCGCATGTTCTCCATGCGAACTTGCAATTTCTTGTGAGAAGGATGCACACGCCACACCATTTTCAAATGTTCATCCCTCTTTTTCTTCATCAAATCCCTGAAAGAATTAAGAAGCAGATAAGAACAATCTGATTTTAACACAAAATAATAAAATGGTATTAAAAATAGTTTTCATATACGAACCTGAGAAGTTGTTGCAGCCTATCATATTCATCATCCCAAGTCAAGAAAACATTGAAACACAGATTCATAACTTTTTCAAATTCGTCAAATGGAATATGCATTAGCCTTCTTGTACCCAAAACTTTGAATAGCTGAGAACTCAAGTCACGAGATATAGCTTCAACAAGTTTCAAAGCTCTCTGCATGGGATATTTGGTACTGCGGATCTTACGCAAGTGAGAAAAGATCTGCTGTATAGCAGCACGAATTCGGTCAAGTTCGGTAGCAGATAACAAGTCATTGATGGGAAAATCCTTCATAAGTGGGTTGTAGTCATTGACATAACTGAGTGCTTGTTTCAATCCAGTATCTGTATCAAAACTAACTGTGGCATGAAAACGTTTCCCATGCTTCAAGATGTCTAATGTTAAGGCAACTTCTAGGCTTTCTCTCTTTTCCTGAATCCTGTGGAGTGCTCGTTCTAAGTTCAACCAGAAGCTGATTTCTTGAAGAGCTGTTCCTGATGATGGGTCACGATCAAGCTTTGTAACCTATAAAATATTGGACATAAAATAACATTTCTTACACAACTGTTTGATAAAAATGTAAAATAACCAAGCTACGTGGACAAAATACATGCCTTCTGAATTTCTTTGATCCATCTGTTGACTCCAGTCTGAAGCTGATTTAAAAAAGTAGAATCCTCAACACGGTCTCCAAAATCAGCTACTCTAGGTTTGCGTCCTTCTTCAGCACACTGTTTGATTACAGCAATTACAACATGATGAATTTGTAGAGATATTTCTGGAATGTCAATGTTCTGCTGGAGATGCAATAAACCCATTTCTAGCTCCGCCATCTTTTTTTCCACAGATGGTGCCATTTTGTCTCCATCTCTGAAAATTAATAGATTAGTGCTCTTACCCTGATAACTAATATTGTAGTCAACTATTATTTTGAAAACAAGACATAATAATACCTGTCTGCTCTTCCTGATTCCTTTACATAACTCTTGAAGTATGGTGACATCCATTTGCTCACAAACGAATGAATGGTCTCATAAGGAGATCCCTCACAAAAGTTTGTGAGACGTAATTGGGAATGGATATTTTTTTCAGCCTCTACTACAAGGCCCCTCTTGACACATACCAGACTAAGAGTAGAATTAAACAACACATTAGTACTTGATCTCCACAGAGCTTCTTAGAGATTGATTGCATTTGAACAAATTTACCTGCTTTCCTTAGGGCTTGTGTACTGAACTTCATTTGATAAGTAGTACGCCTCCTCCTTTTCCTCACCTTCTGTGGGTTCGCCATCTTCATCTATAAAAATTACAGCATTATAGGGTTGGAAAAAGCATAATTTTTCAAATGAGTTGTAACTTTGCACAGTACAGCAAACATAATGAAAATTGCAAAACATTTTATCTTTGCACATCAACAGGAAAGTGACTTCACAGTATGACATAAAATGGAACAAGGAAATACGTAGATCTAAAGCTTTGACAAAATTTGTTTACAGTTTCTTGGCCCCGTCTCCTCCAGACGTGCGGTCAGCTCTAACTTGCAGCCAACTAGAAGAGGCGGTCATTGATAACCGCTGATGTGTCTTATAACCTCTAAAGAAGTGACAGTTCTCGGCCGTACCTTTAGTTGAAGTACGCTGAATGAAAAGAACCGGAACTTGCTGATCGCTGATGAATTTGCGAATGCAGTCTTGATTATTCCGGTCTTGTAAAGCGGCATTGAGGGCCGGTGGAACCGTGTCGACGTTCGGCAACAACACTGTCACTACTTTGCGAATGTAGTTGCAGAAATCGTTGAAATCAACAACAGCCACTGTCTCCGGCTCTGGCGTGCCCTCAGGCACAGCCTCAATGGAATCTCCCATAATCTGGGACTAGGGTCACAGTTGTATTACGACCATATGCACTTTGTTTAACATTAAAATGAAGTTGTACGTCTCGGAATCCGACAACTTCATTCAGCCATTTGACTCACGACGACTACGACTACGCCGCCCCCGCTCGTCCCCCCCTCCTCCCGCCCCTTCTCCCCGGGACCTTCCCCCACCCCATACTCCGAAGAAGAACAAAGGTGGCTGTGATCCTTGAGATAAGCACCTTTATCTCACGATTTGAGAGATAATTTGCAAGTTAAGTCTGAACTTTGGCCGCACTGTTCTTAGGCACACTACAGCTAAGGTATTCCCCTGGTACAACTAATAACCGGTGGAAAAAAAGTACTTGTTTTTGAAGGAGGAAGATGCAACAAGGTCCTCAGCAAGGCCGTGACAGTTGACTCTTGTGTCACGTGACTTAGCTTCTATTTGAGCGCATTTTGCAGGTACGGCTCAATACCGTTAAGATTTTCGGTAATTAAGTGTTTTTTTCGCCTCTCTTTGGTCCAAGACTGTGATTCTCATCGTCCGGCGTCCCTATAAGTTCTGACACAAGCACGAAACTGGCTCCCTTCATCTATAGAACTTCTAAAATGAGTGGTAGCCTGATGGTTGTCAACTATAAGCCTAAAAAGAAGGCTACGAAATGGCGTCCTCCCCACATGGCTACCTCGATTAGTTATTTTTGAAGAAATATTTTGGAGTGTTTGAAAGAGTCCCGTTTTCTATTTCTTCCTATTTGAGCCTTGTCGTGTCAACTTCGCGTACTGTACGTGCTGACCTTGGTATTTTGGCAGACAGAGTCTCGACTCAATCTTGCCGCTAGTGGCCTATGAATCAACTTCAGTTTCACATTTTTTATTATATTGTAATTGTTACGGTCTGAAAATGTGTGTAATTGGTGTTTCAAAGTCTTCCGAACCGTTGCGCTCTTATAAAGTACCTCTTTCGACTACTTTCGCGAAGTTTACTGTGTACCGGCGTGAGTCAACACGCTTGTAGCCTATCCTTTGTGAGTGCCCTAGCCTTCCGCACCCCTGTAATAATATTGAACATCAGAGCCTTGGAAATCAAGTATTTACTTCAATTCGGGTGCTTGTTTAGAGGGCTTGACGATGTTTCGCTTTTGAACCGTTCTACTTTGTTTTTGTTCCTATCTTTATTATTGTTCCTGTGGAATGTTATGATGGTGGGGTGATTGTTTACTGTGTTGCTTGGTCATCTATTATCTTTTAGTTTGCTATTTTCCCTTTTCTTTTTCGGTTATCAGGATGCTTCTATATCTTCCATGCTTTGTTTATTTTCTTCCATTTGGTTTGGAAGATTATTTGTGCATTTTGAATGAAATGTACCTTGAAATATTTTTCTAAATTTTTAAATCTAGAACTTTAATTTGAAGTCGGGTGCAGTCTTAATTATGAATTTGTATTACTGCACCTTTTTAACAATTTCAATGTTTTTGTTTCAGATTGGATTGTAAATAGTAGGTGTATATAGTGTTTAGGGATGAGCTCAGTTGGTCGAGCCGCATCCCGTGGCTCTAAAGGCGGGAAGGGGGATCATGCTTCTGCAAAGGCCCAGAAAACAGACACCAAGACAGAAACTGCTAAGACAACGGAGAATCCAAAGGCACAGGTATGCTAATTATGATGTCAATTGTGAGAATTTAAAAACTCTTTACTTATAATAAATTCTTACCTATTTTCCTTTTAAACCTTACAGCCTACACCTGAACAGATGCGCATTGCAAGGATCATAGGTGAGGATTATGAAGATCCTCAACTCAGGGACAAGATTAAGCAGGTATGTGAGAGAAACATTGCAAGGTTTGCCTTCATGTTTCCATTGTTCATTGGTCTTATTTGTCACATTTCAGGTGATGGATGCCACCCACAAAAGTGAAGAGGAAGTTGCCACAGCTTTACATGATTGTGATAATGATCTGAATAGAGCTGTCAATATGCTCATTGAGGGGCAAATTTCTGTACGTTACATTTTTCTACTAATCTTGATAACTATTTTTATCAGTGAATTCACTAATCATTTTCATTTTCTCAGGGAGAGTGGGAGACATCCTCCAAAAAGAAAAAGAATCGTCTACCCAGTGCTAATTCGAAGCCAGATGCTGCTGCTCCTCGTGGAATCAGCAGCGCTGATGTTGAAAGTGAGAACTGGGATGACGAGACTCCAATCAAACCTGCTGCCCAAACTGATTCACAGCAACGCACACGGACTCAGAGAGGGGGAGGTGGTGGTAGTGGTGGTGGTGGCGGCCCACCTAGAATGCGCGGGCGGGGCGCACAGGACAACAGGGGCTGTAAGTTGGTTCGCCAATTTTTTATGTCAAACTGCTCATCATTAGCTCGAGTTTTATTCAATTCTTTTCTTCAGGGAGAGGCAGGGAAAACAAGGAAAACGAGAGGAATTTGGAAGAGAGCCGTAACGCTGTGGGCCCTTCTGCTGGAGGTGAGCGGGAGCCGCGAGATTCATTCCGTCGAGGAGGTGGAGGAGGTGGCAACAGAGGTGGTCGTATGAGCAATGGGGCAGGTAGAGGAGGTGGCAGAGGAGGGAGCAGGACAGGCCCACGGTCATTCCCCAATCGGGGTGGACACGACCGAGGGGGTGCTCCATTTCCCAGAGCAACATCCTGGAATCCTGATGAAGATGGAGCAGACTCTAAATCAAGTAAGTTGGACTACCCCGGAGTTTTTAATTAAACATTGGGACGTTCCGTTACAGTTTTTACCCTAATTGGTATGTTATCAGACAATTTCCCTTCCCCTGAAGATTGGTACAATGAGGAGTATACAGGATCTCTCTCGGACACTAAGGTGTTCACTCCCAGCAATGTGAGTGGGGAAGCTTCTGCAAATGACCCAATTACCAGCCTTACAGTAAACAATAGCAATTCAGATTCCTCACCTGGTGTCAATTCTACAAATCTCAATTATGCACAGGTACGTAATTAATCATCTGGCTTCATTCATTCAGGTTTATGGTATTCTGTTGTAGGTTTATTTTAGTGTTGCCTCATTTACATGTGTCTCTAATCTTCCAGAGTGCAGCTGGAACTGGAAACATGTCAGCAGTGCAATCACAGTACCTGAGGCAGTTGCCTGATGGCAAGCCACCAAGTTCTAATGCTCTGACAGGAGCCATGAGTGGACTGAATTCAATGACTGGTCCATTGGCTAATTCCACTGATTCCAAGACTGCATCTCGTGGCATCACTCCGTCCACACCTTCCAGTGGCATTACTTACAGCACCTATGCAGCAAGTGCTGCAAACTCAGCTGCTAATGCCCCTGCTGCTACAAGCTACCCCAGCACTTATTCCTCTGTTAGTGCATCTGTACCGTCAGTATCATCTGCGGCGGATACTAACTTCAGTACATCATCTGTCAACTCCAGCTTTACCACTTATCCATCGGGGCAAACCCAACCTGCCTCATACACAGCAACTGCGACATCATACAGCACTGTGTATGGATCGCATCAAGAGGGAGCAACTCAGGCTTCCAACACCCAAGCACTTCCACCAAGAAGCAAGACTCAGCGGCCTAGAGTTCCACCTCCCTCAAAGGTAAATAGACTTTACCTCAGCAACAACACTTTACCCTACAAACTTTTTCTCATTCATTCCTATGGTTGTTGTCAATCGATTCTTCTGCTTACAGATCCCACAGAGTGCTGTTGAAATGCCTGGAGATGGTGTCAACAGTATTGGTGTGTTGGATGTCCAATTTGGTGCCTTGGACTTTGGAACTGAGGCCTTTGATACGAATTCTTCAGAGCCTCAGTCTTCACCTCAGTCCCAACCATCCCAGCCTCAAAATCAAGCTTCACCTATGGCTAAATATTCCACTGGGGCTAGTGCAGGTGGTGGCATGGATACCACTTCCACACCTGCTTCTCAACCCAGCATGGATATTGACCCTTTCAAAACAGCTGGTCAAAAGGCAGCTGCATTGACACAGACTTTGCAGGTTGGATATTTTTGCTTTTGATATGCATTCTATGGTATTGGAACATTTTGAGCTAAGCGCATATTTGTTTTCAGGAAACTCTATTACATGGGTCTCAATCGCAGCAGTCTCAGTCAAACTCTCAGTCTCAAAGTAATGATCTCAAGTCCCAGCAAAGCAACTTCACTCAACAGTCACGAGGACCTGGTGTGGGAGTTGTGGTTCCCTCTCCCCTAGATAGCCTTGTGAAAAGTGATCAAAGCTCAGGGGGAAATGTTTCTAATGTGAGTGCAAGTGGAGCAGGAGCTGCAGGATCTCTGTCGTACTCGACACCTAGTTCCAACTACCAATCAAGTTATACTAACCAGAAGAGTGTAGGAAGTGGATACCAATCAACTGGATACAATGCCTCAAGCTACCCTCCTCAAGCAACCTCTGGGGTTTCCTCTAACTCTTCAAATTCTTACCCTACAAGCTATCCATCAAATGCTTCAAACCAGGCTTACCAGAATGTGCAGTCTGTTTATGGGGCAAGCAATAGCAATGCATCAGCAACAGGTGGCAGCAATTCTGGATCAGTAGGCTCAACCAGTGGTTATACCACATCAGGCACTGCTGGTGGCTACCAGAACAGCTATGGCACCAGTACTGCCTCAGCAGCCAGCACAAACAAGCTCACCTCAGTACTGACTGCTGCCAAGGACCTTCCTCAGGTGAGGGCATGGGTTGTAAGAGAGCCATGTAGTACTCAAAGAGATGCCATCAATTGGTTTTAGATACAAGATAATGACACATTTGAAATTATTTCTTTATTGTCCCTCAGTATGACACGACTGCCACTTCAACGTCAAATCTGAGCGGCTCTCTTACCAGCAGCAACACTGGTGCTCCAGGACTTTCGGTGCCCAATGTCAGCGGATCTGTCAACAACTCTCCATCTCTTGGCTTGCCAGGTACAACTTCTTTGCCTAATGCCAATAACACTACTTCTACCAAAGTTACAAATTCCTCTGGTAAGTATCAAGCCATTGTTTGTTACTGTTTTGGGTCAGACATTCTGTTGAGTCAGCATTGGTTTTGGCTCTGCTGATGACTTTGACTTTTGTTGAATTGTAGCAAAAAGTGTTGTACAAAACATGCCACCTGGGGTGCAACCAATCATTGCAGCAGGTACGCAGTACATAATGAGCCAAGGAGGACTTCCGTATTTCCAACAGCCTGTGTATAGCTTTGAAGAACAGCAAATCATGCCTTTGAGAATACCGCATATGGTGAGTAATGCACATTTCAATAAGGACTTGAATATGTTTTGTAGCTCAATACCTATTAATGTCAGAATTATTTTGCAGCCTGGGTATTATGATATCAGCTATCAGCAAGCTCCAACCAGTTTAGCTACTGGAAGAGAAGGCAGTCTAGCTAATGTTCCATATTCAATGTCAGATGCTAGGTTTGCACGGACTGATAATGCTTCACCAGTTCCTTCATCTCTTTCACAACAGGTATGGCACTTAAATTGTTTTGAATCAGTATTGCTCTTTTTCAAAGGAAAGTACAACATTGCATGTATTTTCTTTCAGAATGCAACCCAGGCTCATCAACAACCTATGATGAATGCCACTGGGTTCCCACCAGGCTATGCAGCTTATGCATACTATGGTGGATCAGTTCTCCCTGCAAATTACCAGTATGGTACTCCCACTGCAATGTACCCTGTAAGTCTACAAACAATTGTGTGTGATGACTGAGACCCATCACTCGGCTTTTCCTTTTCAAAAAGTATCTCACTTAGCTTTCAATCTTACAATTTTTATTTTTTTCTGTTTTTTAGCAAGTAGCCCCTGCAACTAATGCACATGGCAACTCAAACTCAACGCAGTACCCCAAGCCTGGAAGTTACGGTAGTAGCTACGGCTCGGGCTACGATGGCCTGTCTGCATCACAAGACTACAGCAAGGGCGGCGGCAGTTATGCTGGTGGTCATTCCGGAGCGCAGACTGCCAACAAGGCCGGTGTGGGTACCAATGTCCCATCAACAGGGTCGTCAGCAACAGATATCTACAATAAGACTCACACTCACGCGGCTCTCAGCAAGGTTAACGTAAGTATTACTGGTAAAGTAAAGTATGTATTCCCTTGCAATATATTAGCCGTCTAACAATACATTTCGTTTGCAGTCCTATGATAAAGGTTTTCATTCTGGCACTCCGCCTCCTTTCAACCTTGCTGGAAATCAAAATACTGGTATGGCACCCAGTGGAGCTTTTCCAACCGCTATGTATATTCCACCACCTATACCCCAGCAACATCATCACTCTACCACTCTAATGCAACATCCAGTGCATCAACAGATGGATATGAGGAATACTTCCAGAAGATCTGTAAGTTGAAAAAGCTGCTTTTCTGTTGGTCAAATACTGTTTTTATTATAATTTGTTTTTATTTATTTTATTATTTTTTTTTACACATTTTAGGAAAGTGGAAACAATAGTGGACAGAGGTCACAGTCATCTTCACAGTCCAGCAAGCCTGGTTCAAAGCAAGTCTTCTCTCAGAATTATTGGGCAAATTAATTAGACTCAAAGCCTGTAGCTCATTTATCAACATTCTGATTTTCTGATATGTTTGTCATGTCGACATGGTGTTGCTATTGGCTCTCTTCCTTTCCTTTTAATAATTTTTGCTCGTATTTTTTATGTGTTGTTGTACTCTTTGGTTGCTTCAACATTTTGAGAAAATACCTAGCATTTTGCGCAATGTGAAGGAAGGAAAGACATTTTACATCATGTATCTTGTATGTCTCCCTTGGTGCAGATCGGAGACAAGTCTAATCTATTGTGCTCCCAACCCTGTGAACAAATCTCATGAAACCAAAGTTGTCCTTGTTAAAGGTGCTTGTGCATTTGAACTCCATACTAAGTATGGTGTATGCACTACCTAATTTCAGAATGTCCCTCGATTCCCCTTGTCTATCTGCAAGTATTGTATCTTTATTTCCATTTTTTTTTTGTTATTGACAGATGAATGAATGGAATTTTACAACTGTATTATATGTGTAGGTTTGTTTTGTAAGTGAGACAGTTGAAAATAACATGGAATGATGCGCTAAAATCATGTATTATTATTTTTTTTCTGTATTTTCTAATGCCTTTTGTAGTAGGTATTATAGAAATTCATTGTTGTCTAATAAAAAAAAAGAAATATTGCTGTACTGGGAGTTTCTTTCAATTTAGTTCATTGGGAAAACCTTGAATTTTTTTTGGAAGAAGGCACTGAACTATGTTTGTTTTCTAGTAAAGGTGATACAATTTTCTATAACAGCAACAGATTTCATACCGGTCAGGGAAAATGAAATTGTCCTTGAAATCGGAAAGCAATTGCATGGATGACATGCGCCACGATCATGACATCGCGAACTGCTTATTTTAGCTATGACACCTTACCAAGATTGATCAATTCTCAGGACAGTTCTAATATTTCTCTATTTCCTTGTGAAGCCTTTGTCTTCATTTTGCCAACTTCGCTTTCCTTACAATTAAGAATGTCAGAAGGTAATCTGGGAATACCAAAGTGAACACCCGGTATAATCCCTGAACGGGTCTAGACACTTTTCTATATCACTGTGTAGGACACTTTTCAACCCTACTGGAAGCCTCAACTTCAGGCTAGGGAGGATTGTTCTCGGGTGGTGCTTGGACATTTGGCATCACCTAGCATTGGTCGAAGCTGCTTTCTGAGCTTATGCTGAGCTTACAGATGGGATGAGGTTTGATAATCTTATTTAAAAGTGGTCAAAGATTTGCTGATTCCTGTAGGTGGCTTCTTACAGAAGTAAGAATGTTAACATTGCAAGATCAAGTTCTCAGTTGGCTTCAGGAGAGTTCAGAAAAGACAATGAAGTTCAATACAAACAAAAACATTTATTCCAATCGTCAATTAGAAAGTACAAAACAGAAAAGTATCAAAATAAATCTCACACGAGACATGTCTCCAGATATGCTAGGCTAATGTCAATATATAAAACAAGCCTAAATATCACAGATAAAATCTCAATCCTACCACTCTTCTTCCTCCTTCTCAAGTACATGTGTGGTTCCACCACCACCACGAATGTCACTGGTCCCTGCGGAAAAGCCACCAGCAGCAGAGAATCCTTCTAGGAAAGAAGGAACTTCCTGATTGGCCTGCAAGAAAAACTGAAATTAGTCAAAGTTCACCTATAACTATAATTGAAGGCAAACTGAGTTCAACTTACGTCTCTCAAAATTTTGGCTAAATCACCAGCAATGGCTGAGTCATTTGCAGCATCGTAAAATGAAGTAGCCCTGCCAGTATTCCCCACTCGTCCTGTCCTTCCGATTCTATGGACAAATTCATCCACTGATTTAGGCATGTCATAATTGATGACATGAGCAACTCCTTTGATATCTGGATACAAATAAAACAGATTACACACTGTCCAACAAGAATGAGTAAAAACATTTGAATGGTTTGATAGTTACCAAGTCCTCTCGCAGCTACAGCTGTTGCCACAAGGATTTTCATTGAGCCTCGAGTAAAATCTCTTAGAGCCTCTTCGCGCTCTCTCTGTTCTCTATCACCATGGATAGATGTAGTGGGCAAATCTTTACCCGACAAGAAAGCAGCAAGAAAATCTGCATTTCTTTTGGTTTCCACAAAAATCATGGTTTTATCCAGCTCTGAAATTTAACAGTTGCTTAGAGACAAATTTAAGAGCAATGCAACATCAAAAAAGAAACTTGCAGCATACCTCCACTGGTCAACATTTCGAGCAATGTATCCCTCTTTTTGTTGCGGTCCACTTCCAAAATGGTTTGAGTAACATCATCGTTGGCCCCACCAACAGGGCCCACAGCCAAAAATATGTAGTCTTGCAGAAATTGCCTTGCAAGAGTTTGTACCTCCTCTGGGAATGTGGCCGAAAACATAAGTGTTTGCCTCTCACCCTAAAAGGAAATTACAGGATTTCAAAATGGAGAGAAGACATGCCAGCACACAAAGGAATGCCAAGTGCTTACCTTAGGGACCATTGTTTCGTGCTTCATCATCTTCTCCATTTCGGGAAGGAATCCCATATCCAGCATTCTGTCAGCTTCATCTAGCACTACAAATCTGATAGAGGAAAATGTTATCCTTCCTCTGTTCACAAAATCCATTAACCTGCCTGGTGTGGCAACTAAAACATGGCAACCAGCCTGAAATATAAACATAAATAAGTAATGACTGTAAAACAAAAAACAAGAAAACAAAAAAACAAAAGGAAACTAGCTTACCCGAACTTTGTCAGCCTGATGCCTTACAGCAGCTCCTCCATACGCAACACAAACTTTAATAACGGAACCACTAGCAAATTTCTTGGCCTCTGTAAATATTTGATTTGTAAGCTCCCTGGTAGGGCTCACAATGACAGCTTGAGGTTCTGTATGATCACCATCAGTTACTAAATCCACAGGCTCCTGAAGAAGCTTATTGAGAATAGGGAGCAAGAACCCTCCCTGAAAAGAACATTGCAGGGTAAGACCTCAAAGCAAAGAAGAGAATGATTGGTTTTGAACAGTAACAACTTACAGTTTTTCCTGATCCGGTTTGTGCAGATGCCATTAAATCTCTACCAGCCATTACAATTGGTAAAGCATATTTCTGAACAGGGGTGGGTTTCACATACCCGCTCCTCTTCACATTTTCCAACAGGAGGGCTCTAAGATTGGCTGCTTCAAATGTAGCTACAGGCGGAGGAGCATTTTCCCCAGAAACCTAGAAATTACCATGAGAATCAATAGCTGCAGATATAACAGGAACTTATAGGTAGCCACAAAGTACTCACATTGACAGCAATCTTGTCGTACTTGTTGAAGTTGATACCAGAAGATATGCCCATTGCAAACATTTCGTCGGGATCATCAATCTCTGGTGGTATGTAAGTAACAGGCTTTGGCTTCTCCTCCCCGCCCTCACCATTTTCACCACCTGAAGAAGGGTAACATTGTTAGCAACTTTAAGACCGAAGTCAGTGACCACGCAGGTGCAAAAGCATACCTTCCCCATCGGCGTCCTGGAATCCTCCGTTGTCGCCGTCATCGTCACGACGGCGTCCTCGGAAGCCGCCGCCTCCATCTTCGCCGTCCTCTCGTCGGCCCCCCCGGCCACCACCGCGTCCTCCGCGGCCCCCACGTCCTCCTCGGAAGCCGCCTCCTTCTCCATCATCGTCACGGCGTCCGAATCCTCCTCGGCCCCCGCGGCCCCCACGGCCGCCGCGGCCACCTCCAAAGTCGCCATCGCCACCGCCAGGGCTCCAGGCATCATCATCGCCAAATCCATTGGAAAATCCTCGTCCAGCACCTCCAGAAGGAGCAGGCTGAAAGCAATGTGTATTAGAACAAAGTCAGTCTCCCTAACATGCAAGTCCAAACTCATGACTGAATAGGCTGACAAGAGCAAAGGACTCACCGAATCGTCCCATTCATCTGCCATGTTGTTGACACTATCTGAAACAGCATATACAAATACGTATTTAAGAAAACATAAGTCTTGAATTGTCCTGGCTTGGCAAAGAGGTAAGTGCCACAACACAACGCAAAATCTTTAGCTCAATGTCAAACAATGAGGTTAAAACATTCATTCAAAGACTCAATGAGGAAAGTACTCCTTTCAGTTCATTGACTGGAGCCTCATAACCCCACCAACAGGTGCAAGGAGCAACAGGTGTTACGCTCAACTGAAGCATTAGTTATGCATTAGAGTTCAAAAGAACACATTTCACTAGCCAGAGAACGCCCACGAAAATCCAAAATAGGATATTTAAGATAAAAATCTCAATAATCAGAAAAAGTTGCGAGGATAACAAACTGACAACAAGAGATGCGAGATATCAATTTTGACTGACTCGTATACACAAACAAAATTCACAGAAGCTCGAAAGAAAAATGAAAGGTTCCACACAAACTGAGAAAATGAGCACTTTGATTGGAAACCTACAGTTAAGAATCGCCAAAACTTGGCAAGGATCACTATTTACCTGATTCAGACACAGCAAGTTCAAGTCACGATGAAGGGCCTGTCACGACGCTCAAGAGGTTTCTTCACAGGCAACGAATAACGCAGCACGAGTGCAAAATAAGCACCCAGGTACCCTGAAACAGACAGCATCGTCAGCGAAAGTGTCGGGTTAACGAGAACCGGCGACCAGTAAGTAGTCCAATCCGAAACAATTCAGAAAACCATGAATAGTATTCAGGATAAGAAACGGTAGAGCGATAACAGTGTACAGAAACTGTCCAGAGAAAGGGCCAGAGCATAACGAATACTCGAAACTTCTAAGTGGCCCATGCGGACAGAGGGAATGACAAACTTCCACAGACAAACCAGCCGTCAATTTCAACAACTTCGCGATTCTTTCGGGAGGAGAGCGTAAGCACGTATATTGACTTCGATTGAGAATAATCATCATACTTCGGAAAAGTTCCGAACTACGATACAACAACTTTTACCTTCAAGTCCTTATGGACGCCTGCAAGCTCCACCGGCTCGACCGCCGACGAGGAGACTTCCTTCTTGTCAAAGGATAATGAGACGACTGAGAGGCCGCGACGATGGAGGCGGAGTGAAACTCAAAAACACCAACACCAACGAAATCTTGCCGCCGCTACATCACTGGTCGGTGTGGTCAGAAAAGTTAACAGGCTGTATTGAGGAAAAGGGAATTAAATTCATATCTTTAAAACTATGTAGACCACCAATTTTCTATTTCTTATCATCTAAAATTCACAATCAATCCCAAAACTATCACAATAAAGGACAAAATGGGAAAATACTTTATGTCTACGAGGCTGGCTGTATGAGTTCCAGGACTCCCAGCCAAACGTACTCTCGACACCAAAGTGGCTTCACATTCAATAAATTGCATTTACACGCGAACAGAAAAGAGATTGAGCGGTGTTAGACTTTTAAACTATTAGTTTTGTATTGGATTTTATTCAGGGTTATCTTCATTGCAAATGTAATTCTAATTCTAAATTTCAAAAATTTGCAGCGACTTTGGGTTTGAGGCTGCGCAGTGCATGGCCTGCTGGGATTCGATTTGTCTACTGCTCTCCATCTTTGGGGTCCCTTCGTTAAGTGTTGTTCAAAATGGCTCTCCTCTCCGTTCGTCTCGCTGCCAAAGTGGCGAAGGCATTGCCAAATGTCGTCCCACAGGTACGAAAATTCATGGACTTACTTGTGAACCATCAGAAGATTTAGTTTTTTTTGAGAAGTTTTACCCCTTCGACACGTAGAACTTGTGCTATGAACTGCCAGTGCGGAGTGGAGGTTGCCCTCTATTGCCTGGAGGACATTTCGATCCAAAGTGATTTTTAGACTCAGATTTGTTTGCATCACGCTTTTTTTCATGTACGACATCTTCTATTTTCACTTTTTGTCAAAATTTGCTGTTGCCACAAGAAATCAGCTGATGAAAAATATAGTTTGTCCATTATAGAGAGGGTGTGCCGGCCGCGAAAATGTAATATTACGAAGTCATTTTTCTTTTTATTTGCTCATAATTGGTTGTTACATGCTCCCAGTGCATCATTATTCATTTTATTGATTCGCCATCTCCCTGTCACACACCTACAATTCACTACTTTTCAATGAATGAAAGGGCCAATGACGTTCTAACCTCTCGGGTGTGAGGTCATGTGAGATAAGGTGAACTTCTCGTTCTCTTTACTCAGTTTGACTATGGTCTGGGTAATAGGAACAGCCCTCAGTGTAGAGTTCATCAATTATATTATTTGCATTGGGTTCTGTGCAGGTCTCAAACATTGCTGGGCCAGCATCCCTGGTCGCTGCTAGGGCTCTCCATGTTTCCTGCAGCAAGCGGGCAGCGGAGTTGTCTTCCATCTTGGAGGAGAGGATTATGGGATCAGCCCCCAAAGTACGTTTTCTGAACTATTTGGATTGTAAAATCTTGCTTGGAAGGAAAATCAATGACAGCATGAATATTGTTCCTGCAGGCCGACCTCGAGGAAACTGGACGTGTATTGAGCATTGGAGATGGTATTGCTCGTGTTTATGGTCTGAAGAACATTCAGGCTGATGAGATGGTGGAGTTCTCATCTGGCCTTAAGGTTTGTTACTATGTTCAATATTCTTGACCTTGTCAGTCCTGCTTGCCGGGTGGTAGTTGATAATCTAATTATTTACTGTCTTTTGTTTTAGGGTATGGCTTTGAACTTGGAGCCCGACAATGTTGGTATTGTCGTATTTGGTAATGACAAACTTATCAAGGAAGGAGACATTGTTAAGCGTACTGGTGCCATTGTCGACGTGCCTGTTGGTGATGACCTACTTGGTCGCGTTGTTGATGCTCTTGGTGATGCCATTGATGGCAAGGGAACTATCAAGGGCAAGGCTAGGTGTGCTACTTTAATTTGTGGGTTACTTCATTGTTTCTTTAAGCTTGATCATTATTTTAACCTGTCATGTTCTGTCTCAGGTTCCGTGTTGGTACCAAGGCCCCTGGTATCATTCCCCGTGAGTCTGTCAGAGACCCCATGCAGACTGGTATCAAGGCTGTCGACTCTCTGGTGCCTATTGGCCGTGGTCAGCGTGAGTTGATCATTGGTGATCGTCAGACTGGCAAAACTGCTCTTGCCATTGACACCATCATCAACCAGCAGCGATTCAACGATGGTGCTGATGAAAATAAGAAACTGTACTGTATCTATGTTGCTATTGGTCAGAAGCGATCCACTGTAGCCCAGATTGTGAAGAGGTTGACTGATGCTGGTATGTGGTTTCTTGTTTCCTCACCTTTTTCTATTAAACTTTGATTGGAAAGATTATTGACAATGGATTGTATTTGAATAGGTGCCATGAAGTACACTATCATTGTGGCTGCTACCGCTTCTGATGCTGCTCCTCTGCAGTACCTGGCTCCTTACTCTGGCTGTGCCATGGGTGAATACTTCCGTGACAATGGCAAGCATGCCCTTATCATTTATGATGACTTGTCCAAGCAGGCCGTTGCCTACCGTCAGGTGGGATTTTTTTCCTGTCCCTACAACTTGTTTAGCTTCTTCAGTATTGTCATTGAACTCTTCCAAATTTCAGATGTCTCTGTTGCTGCGACGACCTCCCGGTCGTGAGGCCTACCCTGGTGATGTGTTCTACCTTCACTCACGTCTCCTCGAGCGTGCTGCCAAGATGAGCAAGACCCTTGGTGGTGGCTCACTGACTGCCCTGCCTGTCATTGAAACCCAGGCTGGTGATGTGTCAGCTTACATTCCAACCAATGTAATTTCTATCACTGATGGACAGATCTTCTTGGAAACTGAGTTGTTCTACAAGGGTATCCGACCTGCCATCAACGTCGGTCTTTCAGTATCCCGAGTAGGATCAGCTGCTCAGACTCGTGCCATGAAGCAAGTGGCTGGTTCCATGAAGCTTGAGTTGGCCCAGTACCGTGAGGTTGCTGCCTTCGCCCAGTTCGGTTCTGATCTGGATGCTGCCACCCAGCAGCTCCTGAACAGAGGAGTTCGTCTTACTGAGCTTTTGAAGCAGGGACAGTATGGTGAGTTTCAGTTAAACCAATTGATCCTTTTTTGAAGTAACCCTGGCTTTCTTTGCATTTACTTATGTTCCAATTTTTTCTAGTGCCCATGGCTATTGAAGAGCAGGTTGCTGTTATTTACTGTGGTGTCAGAGGCCACCTTGACAAGCTTGACCCTGCTAAGATCACTGACTTCGAGAAGCAGTTCTTGGAACACATTCTGTAAGTTTTATGCTGAATCCATTCCTTGTCTTCATCTGAACAGAGAACTGTATTTTATGTTCTTTTACAGCACATCACACAAAGATGTCCTTAGCGTTATTTCAACAGACGGTAAGATCACTGACGAAACCGATGCTAAGCTTAAGAAAATTGTAACAGATTTCCTCGCCAGTTTCAACGCAGCAAGTAAATAAATCAGCATTATCCTTGAACATGTAGGAAATTTTATCAATTAAATGGCTTGGGAAGCTATTTTGTATTAAAGTACAACTTTTAAAGAAATTTTTGACTTGTAAAGCATTTCAGGGCTGACATGGTACCCTTCTTAGCCTTGGAATGTACCGTTTGGTATGCACTTTGTACAGATCTCCATGCAACACGATCTTTGTTTCCCAAGGAAATAAATTTGTGATAAATCTTATCTCCTTGCTTTTATTTCTGAGTTTCCCAAACATTGTGGAGTTCTGTACCTATTACTGCCATAGCTTGTGTTACTGTCTTGTCCAGATGCATTCACCAAAGATCTGGTTGGATGAATGTCTTAATTTTCAAGTTTGATAGTGTACAAGCTTGTTTTCATATTGAAATACAATCCTGGTAAAAACACTAAGACCTTCGACTATTTTCTCACTTGCCTATTGTCAGAAATTCTGAGATACCAGTTCTGCATGGATCAGTTTGAAGAATAATTGTTTGGGGAAAGTCAGCCTGAGAGCTAATACCGATAATTTCTTAACTCTTGGTGGGATTGAGGTGACACTACCGCAAGGTAATCTGAATTATAAAAGTATTGTAAATGTTCATGCTTGACAGTGGAAAGGAATAAGCTCAAGCCACTGACGAAGCCAGATGATGTTTACTTGCGGCTGGCAAGTGTTGGCATTTGAGAGCTTATGTGATGGCTGAAAATTGGCGCATCTGATCTGGTCTCTCATCGACCCGCGCTCGCGGCGGACGGATTTAAGTTGGGTGAAGAAAAAACAAACATACTGATAATTATGAGTTATAAAATAGCTTTAATAGTGAGGTGGCAATTTGAATTAACAAATATTTCAAGAAATTAATGGATTATCTCTAACTCTTCTGCTTTTCACGCTTAGCAGCTTCGGCCTCTGCCTCCAACTTTTCATAGGCTGAGACGAGAGCATCAACCTCAGCCGCTGGGAGGATTCTGATGACGGTCTTGTCATCTTTTCTCGTTAGGGTTGCCATCTCCACTGTTAGGATATCAAAGAAAGTTGATGTAAATTCACTTAAAGCACATTGATTAACTTTAGGGGGCTTTCATTGACTACAAAGAATTATTGGTATATTTGTCAATAAAATTGGTTTCTAAACCACTGTAGGTCTAGAAATGAAATCAGGCGGTATATTTTCCAAAAAAAGGAATGGCTGAACAAATTAGTAATATGTACCTCCATATTTGTTTTTATATACCTTATCATTACCTTCTGTATACCTTCCACCTTTAGACCTACAGTGGCTCAGAAACTAATTGTATTCACAAATGTACCAAAAATGCGTTTGGGGCAGTAGAAGCCACCTTCTATTGCATTTATAGTGGCATTTTTTGTACCTTTCTCTGAAGTAAGTTTGGTTAAATCTAAAGTTTTGCTGAGAACCTTGATGGCCAAGGCCTTTGCTTCTTCGAGTGTCATTTCTCCTTCCTTGTATTCCTGCTTTAGAGTTGACACAGCAGCCTATAAAATGAGGACAACAAAACAAGCAAAATCAGTTAGACATCAGTAAACAGACTCCCAAATAACACTTTTCTTTTTTCTTTAAGATTATTGAAACCATACCGAACTATTGTGTCCAATGCAAGTGGCTTTCCAGCCACCATAGTTTCCACTTGGGTCAGACTGGTACAGCTGATATCCATAGTGCTTGTCCCAGCCCATGTACAAAATTGATACTCCAAAGGGACGCTTACCTGGAAGTTAAGAAAATGTGTAATTGACAAGGATTACGGGCACAGTGTCATAAATTTCTTCATCTGCAGTTGCACTTACCGCCATACTGTGTGTAAGCTTGCTTCATGTCACACAAGGCTGACACTAGTTGCTCACAGGGCATTGATTCACCATACTGAGCAAGATAGCGTTGAGCAATCAATCGAAGTTCATTTGTAAGGACATTGGCATCAGAGGTGATTCCAGCTACACTGCAGACCATATCACTAAAAAAAGAAAGTGGTAGTATGGTGTAAATAATAAGAGGGTCCCAGACGCCAGCACAAATCAATAGGAGCTAAGACATAAAAGCATACTTACTTAGTTAATTTGTAAATTTTTTCTGAGAAAAACACCTCATCAAGTAGTTTATTGATGTTACGTCTCTCAGCAGCGAGAAGGATGCCATCATTTGCCAAAATTCCCAAACATGTGCCAGCATGGCTTATAGCTTCCATAGCATATTCTACCTGATATAAACGTCCTGAACAAAAGTGTAATAACACAGTGAATAAATGGAAGGAATCCAAACTTACAAAAAATAGGTTGCAGCAAATCATGACAAAATACGATACGACCGAGGCGGGCGATCTTACCTTCTGGCGAAAAAATAGTGGTACGTGTATCATATCGTCGAGCCTAAAATAGAAAACAGAAAAAACTGAAATGATGGCAATTTAATACCGAAAAGACAATGGGCAAGAGATGCTTCTAGTTAGTGGAAACAAGAAAGGCTGAGAAGGTTAAGATACCGGTTTCACGAAATTAATGAGTATATAAGATTCTACGAGCTAAAACATTACTTGGAAACTATCAAAGAGCGCAAGTAACAGTCAATCTTACCATTTTAACTCTTTGGAAAGGTTCTTTTCGACAAAAAAGCAATCAACTGACAGATGACTTGATAGTTTTCAACAAACTGAGCTTACAATGCACAAGTACAATTGAAATGTGAATGTGAATGATAGAAAAGGGAATGCTGTTAGCCCGGTTCAATATGAAAAATTGCTTTAAATAATTCATTTTTCATGCTCTTATGACAGCTCCCAATACAATATGATTCATGATTTCGCCAACCCATAACGTTTTCGGATTTGTGATCTAAAATGCCAATGTTTTATAATAGTCAGTTCGAAAATAATTGAATGACATTGATGACATGACATGCAGTTTAATATATTTCTCATACTTCTTTTCCCTCTGTCCTTTTCTTGCCGCCCCCCTCCCCCTCCCTCTCCTTCCACCCGCGCTTACCCTTACCCTCGCCTCGCCTCGCCTCTCCCCTCGCCCTTCTGTCCAAAACAAATATTTTGCGCGGGGTTTGGAGGCCGTTAGTTGCACGAAAGTTTTCATTTGGGAGAGATAACTACTTGTAGAAGTTTCCAGACGTTAGTTTGTGTGATGGAATGGTGAGGTGTGTGTCTACCGATTTCCCGTGTGATGATATGTTGCTGAATGTCGAAGTTTAGTCAGTATTCTGTAGCATAGTGTAGGTTATGATGCGTAGAGTGGTCGTTTGTGCAGATTTAACATGAGCTTGAACGGAAGAGTCTCCCTCTTTATTTGACGAAATGAGTTTCTCTCAGCTAACTTTGTATTTCTTTACTCAGTGGATTCATCATGGTACTGACGCTGGTGTGGAGCCTGTATTCGTGTAGCAGTCCACCATGAGCGGTCGAACGCCACTGTCACCAAGAACACCTCTACCTAACCCGTCCAGAAGGAGAAGTGCGTTTTCTCCTTCCTTTACAAGTAGTCCAGGATGCTCGTCCACCCCGAGCACAAGCAATGGGTGTGGGAGCAGCACAAGTCCTGCTCGTAGAGTGTTGTGGAGCAAAGGCAGTCCTGCACAATCTTCAAAGTCGCTAAGCTCACCAATAGCTAAACAAAGTTTTCACATTCATGAAGCAAGATCTCGGAGACACTCACAATCATTCTCCAAGGAAAATGATTCGGAGAAGTCTAGTACGTTTTCTAAAAATGCTAGTTCAACTGATCCCTCTTGGAGTGTTAAAACTTTCTCTAGTACTGAAAGCAACGGAACTGTGACAGTTGAGCTGGATTTTCCTCATGGAGGTTGGGATGAGAATGAAGAAAGTTCTAATGAGAGCTCAACTTGCAGTTTGGAAATTGTGGAGTCTGAGGTCGAATGCCATCCTTCTCCTATCCACCGAGGGAGGAAACGAAAACAATCAGAGGTGTCTGAAGAAGACAATGCTATTTTGAGTGGTATGGGTGAAGAAATAGAACGTCAACTTGAAGCCAAAGCTGAAAGAAATCGTCTAACTGTGCCTAATGTCAAGAACATCCTGAGAAGTGTTATCACAAACCCATATGTTCAAGCAATGGTTAGAAGAAGTATCAAGTCTGGAGATATTGCAGTTTTGGGAGATATTGATGTTTCTTTTGAACCTAGAATGACTAGAGCCAAAGCAAAACTTCTATGTGATGATGCATCAAAATCTGATCTTTCATGGGCAGGAACACCACACAAGTCACAAGTACCATCAGAGTGTCAAGCTCTAATTAGTGAAGAGTTAAATGATGACTCTGAGGATGACGAGGAATACCAGCCTGGTGAAGATGAACATAGCGACAATGATTACTCAGAGCGAGATGGTTCTGATAGAGGATCTGAGCGAGATATGTCCATCGAACAACAGTCTCCAGCTTTCTGTGATACAGATAGTGAATCTCGTCCAGCATCACCCAGCCCATCCCCAAAGCCTCACATTACTGACTCTGCAACCCAAACCAACTGGTCAGAGGATGGGGTTTTTAAAGTACCATTGGTGAGAATATGCCTGATGTATGATTTATTTTCCTATATGCTTGGATAAAAGTTTAATATCAAAGAACTTTTGCTTATTTCCAGCTGCCCCCTGAGCCTCAACTAGAAGAGGAAAATATTGCACTTCGAACTCGCTCAAAGCTGCCCTTAAATGACACTCCTTTGGAAGAGATTGAGCAGGCATTTATTCCTCCAGATATCACCCCTGACCTCTACAATGTTACATGTGATAATGAAGATTGGCAAGAGTTCTTAAAGGAATTCATGCAGCCAATGCGTTCAGGTTTGTTTTTCGGTTGATTAATATTTTTTTATTCCAAATCTAAAATGTGCTGTTGTTCAAAATTAATTCTGTATGGCAATTTTTTCATTGTTATTTTTTATTTTTATTTATTTTCATTTTACAGAGCCAGAAGTACAGAACCCTGACGATGAGGATGATCCAGAATATAATGTTTTAGCTGATGAAGAAATAAGTAAGTCCATTTTTTTCATTTTCTACTCAGGTCATTTTCTTCATAAAACTTAAACACACTTGTTTCTTTTTTTAGTTGACAAGGAAGAGTTAAGAAAGGATAGAGCAGTCAGAGTGTCAAAACGTGAATTAAATGAACTAATGAGAGAGCTGTTGGAATTCACAGAAACTTTGTCTAGTGATGACGAGGAGAAAAAAGCTGAAAGTGGTGATAAAGACCCCACACAACTTGGAATTTGCAGCAGCAACAACATTTTGAGTGGAAATGAAGATGTGTCCCTTTTTCTTGATACCTACATGTCTTTAGGGTCCATCACTCCTATGTCAGCTCTGAAAACAACTCCCCCAACTAGAAGCCCAAGTACTCCAACCTTGAACACACCTGTGCCACCCATGAGTCCACCAGGTTTGAGAACACCAGATACTGGAAAGAAAGTCTTTCCTAATGAAGTCAACTCTGAGTCAGCTCAAAATGGTTTCCTCAATCAGAGCAGAGAAGAACGTTGTTACTCTTTGCCCAGCAAAGGAAAACCTGGCTCTTCTGGTAAGAAGCAGAACACAGGCCTTGGTAATGGGAAGTTGAGCAGTTTTGCCAAACCATCGTGCAGTAATCACAGTGAAAAGGAGCAGAATGCCTCTAGCTCTAGCTGTTGCCTTAACTCTGCTTCAACTAGTCAATGTGTAGAAAGAGAGAGATACACCCCAGGTAAACCAGATAATTACCCTGAGAATCAATTTATTAAAACATCAAAAATGTCTTGCACACCTGGAAAACTTGATAATTTTCCCAACTCGATTGGAGGAGTTGAAGATGGGCAGTTTATGTTCTTTACTCCGGGTAAACTTGATCAGTACATAGGTGAATTCACCAACAATGAGGAAAACAATTTTGACAGTATTGGAATGATTGGATCAAATACACCAGTTCGTGCTGTAGAGAATAACAATGAACAAGTATTCTCCCCTGGAAAGCAATATTTTGAGATGAGTTCGAGTTCTCAATGGCAGGATGATTCCGCAGATTTTTCCAGCCCCATATTGGTGAGTTATGTTCTGCATGTTATTATTTAGTACTCCATAAAACATATTCCAAGACTAGACCTTTAAATAGGTAATTTATCATGTGTAATTATTTTGAAGTGGCTCACAAACCTGGCGAAGCTATTCAATAGAAAGCTATCGCAACAGTCTGGCGATAAGCGTGAACCAGGAAGTGGCCTACCCCAGCCTTCTCGAGGCGTGAGCTGTTTTAAACTGATGGGGAAAAGGCACATTATTTTTCTATCCATAAGAAAATTGTTTAGAAATACTATTAATCTGGAGTTTTTATAAATATTGTTCTGATTATCAAATTTTTAAACATTGATTTTATCATCTGTTCACCTAAAAATATTTAAATTGGGTATCTATTCTTGGAAATGATATAATTTGAGTATTTGGAATGCTGTTTTGTCTCAGTGTTACAGTCCAGCTTGAAGGTAATGTTCTTTTTGTGTTCATAGGAAAACCAGAAAACTGTTAAAAACTGGGTTGTAACTGACAGCCAGAGTGAAAGATGTGACGCCTTATCTGTTCAAGTAGATGAGACTGCACTAGCAGAGGATAGTGATAGTGACCCTGATGTATCTGTCAGTTTGGCCTTGTCAAGTGAACCTCCATCTCCTAGAGAAACTGATTCTGATTTTAAGTACAAGGGGGATGCTTTCTTATCTTCTGAAGGAGATGTAGTCATTGATGGTCAAGTTGTATTAAGTTCAGTTCAAAGGCTTGTGCTTGACCAGCAAATGAGGCAACATGTCCAGCTTATGACTCAAACATTCTTGCAAACTTTTCAACACCCTGTCCATAGTCGACATGCCCCATCATTAAAACAGAAATTGGTTGGTATTCAATAAATATTTTGTCTTTCTATTTTTTAAATCTGAAGTACTACTACATCTCATTATCTCTTGTCCCTTATATTAGGATTATTTAAATGCGATGGGGGAAAAAAGAAAGAAATCTGCATTCAAGCCTGCCAACCTTGCTCCATCTTTAGATTTAGTAAATTGTTGGGAGCAAAAATTGTCATCTGATGAGGGATCTGAAGTAATACAGTAAGTGTAAACCTGTTTGGCTATTGCTATAGTATAGTAACTGTTCTTTTTGTAATGTTTTTCATCTGTCTTTTTTTTTTGTGTCTGTTTACTGACTCAGATTTATGAAGGACCAGGTTGCTCGGGCGTAAGTATTTCTTTCTAATATTGTTGAGTGTTTCATGCACACATGCTCAATATGAAACTTACAATTTTTCTACACTTGTTTCAGCACACGTTTAAAAGAAAGAAGGCAGAAAACCTCTTTGAAGTTTTCTCCCGAACTATTAAATTTGATGGCTGAGAGTAAATCTTTTGTCTATCCACAACTTCTACCTCATAGTCCATTTAAAATATATGAAATCAAGAAACCAGAAATTTTACACTCGGAAGAGCAGTAAGTCTTCTCTTGCCTGTGCTTCATTCATAGCTCTAGCTCTCAGGTTACATTAGAAGTGTGATTAAATTGAGGTTTGCTTTCAGGCTAATGGCGTTAGGCCTGGAAGAATTCACAGAATATATCAAACAGAACAACCCTCAAACTAAAACTTGCATTCAGAAGGCTCTTCACTACACTTCAGAGTATCTTGTGGTTTCAAGAGAAGGGAAAACTATGTGGAATTATTATCGAAGATTGAAAGGAGCAGATGAGTCTCAGCCATTGAAGGTACAGTAGTTCTCTATTTCATTTGTTGCAATAATTTCTTCTCCTTTGGTGTTACATCACTCTGTTAATACACCTTTGCAGCATTATGCATTATATAAATGTGCTCCACCAACGTCTCATGTTGTCATCCCATTTAATGAGAACAAGATGGTTCCTCTCAAAAGTCAACCACACTATATTCTTCCAGAGTTGTGGAGGAACTTTGTCTACCCATCAAGCCAATGAACAAGTCCTATTCTCTAACTAAGTTTTTAGGTATATATATTTATTACTTCTGTGATACAAAATTAGCCTCTTTTAACAATCTATATTAAATAAAATGATCTTATTATTAGGATTGTATAATGGAATGCCAAATACCGTTAAGTTGTATTATGTTGTGATTGTGTGAGTGTTGACTGAGTCTTTATTAGATAATTTTTAAGTTATGGGAATCTTCTCCCTTGTCAGTGGACATCTTAACGTAATGGCTGTGAGTTAGACTTTCTTCACCTATAAGAATAAAAGAGAAATATTTCTTGTATTTTGAAGATCATAATATGTTTTATTGTAGCTCATTTCTCACAATCGTTGAGAACATGTGGTTCCTTTAATGTGAATATGTATTTTTATTTTAGTATATTTTTCTACCTATGGTGAAACATTTCTTACTAAGGCATGTCTTAGTAAGCCATTATACTCTTGTACTTACAGAAGCTTTGTAAAAAGCAAAGTTCTTGTTCCTGTCACCGCACGTGTTGTTTTTCATTGTCGCTAAGATATTGAAATAGACCATATAAAAACAAATTAATGTCCAAGTTTTCAATTTTACAACAGCTCAAAGCAGCAGCATTTTTGCTTAATAAAGCGGGGAAGGGAGGTGACTTTTTCCTTCTGGTAGAGACAATCTTGGGGACTGTCTAAAAAGTCTACACTATAGTACATATACTGATTTGCAAGGGAATTCCTTCGTTAGTGATGGCAGTGGCAGTGGGCGTTCGAATCGGTTCCAAAAGACGCGCCAGTTCTCCAGGGAGGGCGGTCCCTCGGTCCACCCCGCCAGAGGGAGGCACTCTCGCCACTCGCGCCCCCTACGGCGATCGCGCGAAGTGCTCAGTTGTGCCCCAAACGGGCGAAGGGAAGGGCGACGCGACGGCGATGGCGGGTGACGGGCGGGCCGAACGTTAGGCGGGCCCTGCGTGCGCCAGGTCGTGCTGCCGGCCCCGGCCGCGTCTCTCCTCTCGCTCGGCTCGGGTCGGACGGGACGGCGCCGCTCGTCAGGTGGAGGAGGAAGTGAGACCGATAGGCGTCCCCTCCGGCTAATTTAAGACTCGGGAGGGAGGACCAGAGGACTCTGGTGGCTCGCCAGGATGTCGCCAGTGCCTCGGGGCCCGCTACACCGCGCACACCGCTGCACGCGCACGCGCTAGCACCGCGACAGCATGGCACGGGCCGAGCTCGGCCTCGCAGCAGCATGATGATGATGCCCCCAGCAGCGTGAGGGGCTGCTGCAACGCGTGGTGGAGCCACGACCTCGACGATGCTGGCCGTGCTCATCGTGATCCTGGCCGTGCTGCGGGCGGCGGCTCCCAGCGTCTCGCTGAAGGGGTGAGATGAGATGTATAACCCTCTCGCACCGCACCACCGCGAGTTGGTTGTTGGCCCTGCTTCCTGTCCCTCTCGCACCCATAACAGAGAGGCCGCAGAGAGAGGGTGTAACCAAAATGCTTCATTGTGCGAATCAGCGGTTTGATCTGAACACGGCGGAGTTCGACTAGTTTATGTATTGCAACATATTACGCTCGCCCCCCTCTTTTTACTTCACTCGAGAAACAAATAGTGTTTGTGCGAATTGTTGATTTTCTAATATTTTGTGCCCTTTCTGTTTCTTGTGGTGGCACGAAGCCTTACTCGTCGGGACTCTCTGATTTGCGCTGGTTTTGTTTAAATGTCGCTGTGGCATTGTGGTTTGAGAGAAAAAAACGAGAGAGAGGGGGGGAGGGCAATGATCATGTACGACTTTTACAATAAGTAGCAACAAGGACGCCTTCGAAGCATTTACAATTAATAAAAATTTAGAAAAGGCCCAATGAGCGCTATGGCGTTGAAGTTGGAAGACCGGGATTCGTTCGCCCCACACCAACCGCCAGACTCTATTTCCATCAGAATTTCAGCAATGTAGGTCTGGACTTGGTTGGACGGGGTGGGTTAGAGGTGGGATTGGGAGAGGAGGAGGAGAGAGGGGG